CCTAGCCCACGATGATATGCAGAACAACACAACACTGTTCATTAGGATGACATTTGTCAGTGTTTAATATGTGCATTTATATTTGGATAAAAGCGAAGTTGTGCTGAAAAGAGACATCAAAATTGTAGATTTAGCAAAGTAGGGTCATAAGGGTGGCTGTGCTTGTTAATGTGGGGTTGGTTGTTTGTTTTTGCTTTGTTGTTGTTATGTACAGTATATAAACATGGTGCTATTCATCATTTACATTTTCAATGCATATTTTAAGATTTCTGACTAATTCTTGTTATTAGACTTAATTAATAAATGAACATGAGTAAACTATTATTATATTTTATTATGCATAACTAACATAGTAATTACAATCTGTAAAAGCAAAAACTGATTGTGAAAGCTTATTTCGTGAATAAACCTTTTCATTCTCCATAAATGATCGACTCTAAGCTCTAAGCAAACTATCTGTTCATGCAGTACCAAAATCAACCCATGTGAATCTGGCTCGCTTATCTGCTTGTTCATTCTCACTGACACAGACGAGTGCAAAATAAACACAAACTCAAACATCAGTTTTATTCTCCAAATATACAGAGCAAAAGCATCATAGATTCACAGACCAGTACAGTTAAAATACAACCTTTTTTCTTTTTTTTTTTCTTAGATACAGAGGGCCACTGCCTGAAAATAGTGGTTTACCCAAAAGCATTTACATGTTGTCTTTTTATTACAATTACTGTATGTTTATGGTTCACTATACAAATTCTTTTTCAGACCTGTGTCGTGTAGTATTTGCAACTATTTTGCATCATTTGGAGTACAGAACAATTCAATCCATCATGGCGAAGTGTACTCATATGACTGTCAAACGCTTTTCTGTCGTTCTTTCAGTTTTCTTTCGTGACTTATTGTACACTGTATGCTGCAAACCAAACCACTCTGATTAACAATGTGCCCTGCAGGACAGAGCACACTCAGAATTGTTTGTAAATACTATTTAGTCCAGGCCTTACACTTGTATGTTATTAAAGTACTAACAAGGTATTGATTGGTAGAAAAGGGGAAAAAAAAGTGAGAGAGAATAGAGTGATAGAAAGCATTTACACTGTTAAGAAAGGCTTATTATGATTAATTCAATGTTTCAAATGGCACCTTCTCTGATGTGTTCCATCATGGACAGTAACACCTATCATACACAGAGGGAGACTTCAAATAGGCTCATGTAAGCAACCCATTGCAGGCGTAGGTCAGATATCGACAGTCCTAATGCTCAACATTTCTTTATCTTTTTTTCCGGTTTATTCAGACCAAGCAATACTTTTTGTGTGCAGTAAACAAATATATTATAACAAGTGGACAGAGAGGCCATTACAAATGCCTACCAGCTAGTCTTCACTTCGCACTGCTCATAAGCTCTGTCTTTCACCTTAGAAATATTTTCATCCAACGTATTACAGGCCTGTCTTTAGCATCTCTGAATAATAGACTACCCTACATCCTCTGCTCCGAAAGGGTTGCTGTGTTTTATCAGGAAAGGGCAGCAACCCCTTGTAATTGTTCCGGGTCTTTGTGTTTATTCATCTGTTATGCCCTGGCATCTGTGCAGTGCTTGTAGCCAGGCAAACAGGCGCCGCCAGCACCAGCCGGCAAGGCGTCCACAGGTGAACGGGGCAGACTTTGTCCCCACATGGGCTTTGATTCCCAAAGACTGACATGGCACTCACATCCTGTAGTGCTCTCGTGCCCACTGTAGCTGCTGCCATTGGGGGGGTGAGGGTGGGGGTGGGGGTGGGGTGGGACAGAAGGCTGGCCTATCAAATATTTATCTGTTTGCTGTGCAGTGTGCCGATTCTGTGGACTGGGAAAATGCATTATGTTTGGGTCAGTGCAGAAGCTGCATCAGATAGACAAAAGTGGACCCTCTGGACAGGACAGCAAATTTGTTTTGTTTTTTAGGGAGATGTATGCAGACGTTTTGAACATTTTTGAATTCTGGTGCTGTCAATGTAAAATGATGCATACTGTATGCAAATAGTGTAAATGAAAACTACATCTGTCCTTTGCAAACTAGATCACATTATAATTGAATCAAGCAAAGCATTTATTCCTACACTCATAAATGCTCAGAAAAAAATAAATTAAAAATGGCACAGACATACTTGACAGTAATCATGGTGCCAAATGCAATATATTTCTGGGCATCTGGGCATCTCTCAGAGGGGCTGAAAGTATAATAACCTCTTACTGCATCTTACTTCAAAGCTGTCCCAGCTAAGCTCGGCTTCTCATCCTATAGCCTCATGTGTGCTCGGTGTACAGAATGTCAGTTTTCCCTGTGAGATCTGGGGGAAGAGAAAACTGCTCACACAAGCCTTTCATGTAATTTGTGAGAAACAAGCAAGGTTGATGAAATTTTTGGAAAGGAAACAAAGAGAAAATGATTGTCTGTCTGTACAGTTTTGATGCCATGTGGATTTGTTGAGCTCTAATATAGTGAAATCTGAATGAGAAAGAAAGAAAAGCCAGGAAAAAATTATATACAGAGAAAGACAGCATTAGAGATTTATATACAGTCTGCTAAGTGCCAAGCTGGATTATCAGCGTTGAAACAGAGCTTTTTGTCTTAAGCTGTACAATGGGCGCCAATCCATTTGTAAAATTAGAGTCCAAACCACTGCCACTCAAGTGGAAAACCCCATTCAAATGCCTTGAATATAATCATATGTAAAGTGCTTACAACAACAACTTGCTTTTGTTAAAAATACCGTGCTTGGTTTTTTCATGGGTTGAGAGGCAGATTTCATAGTTTCATAGTTTCAAGCTCACAGAGGATCATTCCAATTGACTGCTGCACAACGTACAGGAAATTGACCTGATAAGATATTTTTTTTCTATTTTATGTTTGATTTGATATCATGAAGTTGACACTGACACTGTGAACCACTGACTCCTGTTGTACAGCCATTTGCTGTTATTTTTCCAAGAAATTCCCCCTTTATCTTTTAAACAACCGATCAAATAACAAACAGGCTGATTCTATAAAGAACGGCTGTAGTAGACCTTGAAAGTTCACAGACATACGAGTCTTTTGATGACTAGAATCAAATGAAGTGTGGCGTATAGTGTAACTGCAGCTGTTACAGAAAGGATTTATGTTTACTGTAAAAAAAAAAAAAAAAAAGTTGCCCTTATCAGTCATAGCCTGCTTTAACACAGCTTAAGATTCGTAACAACATGTGGTAGCATCCAGGTGTGTGGTAGCATCACGGGTAAAAGATCAAATATTTTCACCCAATAGCTTGACAGTATGTGCAATTCACAAATATGGAATTTGGAATTCCAAGTGTTCTGTACTACAAAACAGCAAAACCTTCCGGTCATCACTTTGTTTTCTGCCACACAACATGTACAATGCATGACCATGACACTCTCGACAACAGGCTCACTTTGACATTTTCACGCAAAGTATGAGTGTTTGTGTAGCTGCATGTTAAATCACTACTCTCTGTCTCTACTCTCAACTAAAACAAATACAGTGTCAGTGATTAAATAATAAAAATCCAATTCCATATATGTCACAGTGGAAAACAAAACAAAACAAAAATGATGCACTTGAAAAGCATTAGCTCGTCACCATCAGCTCCACAGTAGCCAAAAAAAAAAAAAAGAAGAGCGGACAGCAAAGTAAAACACAGTTTTCTAAATTTGCTTGTCATGTCCCTTAATGACCAGCATGATCACAAGTAGGTATACAGTCAGGATGCACTAAGTTCCAGCGTCCACAGTGATATTGACAATAGCAATGGGATAACCACACGATAAGAAGCTAAAAATATAATGTTTACATTTCATTCAGCAGGTACCCTCAAGTATATGGTTAATGATCTGTGGTGTTGAGAGGAGAAACTCACAAGTACAACACATGTCGTAGTTTGTGGGCTTTCCTGCTGCATGCCTTGGAGCTGGACTTGGTGTGGTAACACCATGGCGGATGCAGCTCCCCATCAACAGAGGAGCTGATAGTGTATGTCTATCTCAGTCAAAGTTTGTATTGACCCAGTTCAAACAGACCCTCAAGGCAAAGTAGATATGGACAAGAAGAGGCGCTCATGTCTCATTTAGAGTTATCCATGAGGGAAATCAGAATCAGAAATTAGACGCTAGAAAAGAAATTACAGTCACATATGTACACTGATATTCTTTTATCGCAGAGTGTCAAAGAAAAATAATGACTCAGGGATTTAAAATGAGATCTCAGCCCCTCTTTATCTGCACAGCTCTGTGGCCCAGATACAGCTGTGGAGAGAAAAACAGCCGTTCTTTTCAGCGTCTGAGACGTCTGTGGGCACACGGAGAAAGTTTTCTTCCACCTACACAGGGGACGAGTTTCAACAAGCCACACTTAACATACAGTGTTTGAAGGGAAGGTGGGAGTGTGAAAAAGTTATCGCTTTAACAACTAAAAACCACATGCACATTCATTTTTGTGCTTCAAACTACAAGAGAGCAGCAGGACATTGGCTCGCACTCATTATCAGGCAGTTTATGCTGAGTGCTTCAACACTCATAACAACAATCTCAGTTTTTCTGAATGACAATCTTCAAAAAAGGAAAATTGGTCCATGCCAGGGGAGCTGATTGTCACACCAAGCCTTGTATTCCTGCACTCTGATCTGCTAACAATCTCACTGCAGAAACCAAGGACTGAGAGCTCAAATTCCAAACGTGTGTAGTGTCTGTGTTGGCAAATAACCTCTCTGTGGCACAATTGTATTATGGGTTTAAAAAAAAGGAGGGCGTTGATGAGTTAAGCATGAGGGAAGTATAAGGCTTCTTGATCCACTTTTTGGGACATTGAGAAGTCTAAAGAAGTCACACGGTGCATTAAAGCCCACCAGCCCCAGCATCTTCATGCATCCATAGGAAACACTTTGGAACATTGTTACTTTAGGGGCTCCTGGGAGCTGATTCCTTTACAGTTTTACAATCCTGGCTGCTTGTTACACCCCGGTCAAACACCCTCCCTCCCTTGAGGTCAGACGTGGGTCTGCATGCGCTTCTGGAGAGGCCGGGTGAGGTCTGAGTTCTGCGAGGACGACTGGGAATAGTGGGAAGACGAGGAGGCTGATGCCTTGCTGTCTTTGTCGAACTGCACATAGCCGTCCGGCTTACTGTAGCTGCTGACGCTGCTGTCACACTGCGTGTCGATAAAAGAGCTGGAGTCGCTGAGCGAGCCGCGCTGGAACTCCCGCTCGCACAGCTCAATGGAGCTGCTGCCCATGCCCAGCACGAAGCGTTGGCTGTAGTCGTACAGGCGGTTGGGACCTGCTCCCAGAGTGGAATAGATGTTGGTGAAGGACATGCCTGTTGGTACCCGTTGCTTGCCCAGGGTACCTGTGTTGGTGGGGTTCCTCACCTCCGTGGTCTGATTCCCTGCCATGGTAGGTGTGTGGTGCTCCTTGAAGGTATTGACACTGTAATAGCCATTTGTAGGGTCCTATTGACAACACAGGAAAGAAATAATATTACCATCATTGTAATATGTTTTGCATTTTTTCCCCTAGACCATATATAATACCAAATTAACATAGAAAAAATAGGAGGAACACAGAGAACACAATCCCCTTGTTTATGTTCATTTACCTGCATTCTTCTCAAAGCTCAACAGGAGCCAAGGTCAAACTAGCAGTAATTACCATTCAAATAGCTGAATAAATAAGAAAACAGTCTGCTGTGTACATCATGAGGAAAACAAAAAACACTTAGTGCTAGGATTTAGTCAGCCCTTGCACTAACCTTAAAATCATGTCTCTTGCTAATTAAGCGGGCCTTGATGATTCATAGTTTGGCATCCAATGTGTCACTGCAAAGTTCACTCACATACCAGCTTTAATTGGCCCTTAATGGACTGTAGTGTCTGTAATTTCATGTATGCACTAAAATGGCTTCTTAGGCTACAGCTGCACCACTTGTTTGTCTGCTGGGCTGCAGGCATCGCGCTGTTGCTAAGGGTCCAGTTAGGGCATGCGTATGTTTTTTCATGTCCTTGTGTGAATGGATGTGAATGTCAAGCACAGTGAGCATGGTGGCAAATCCCAAAAGAAGGATGCTCATAATGGGGAAATGAGAGAGACAACCTGAGAGAGAAGCCTCGTTATGCTTGTCATTATCAGACAGCTGACAGGGAGACTGTTTGAGTCTGGCCTTTATCTCTTGTTCAGTCCCCCCCTCTGCTCTCGCCTCATGCACGCTGTCATTAACTAGGATCAAAAAATCTGGCCCCAGAGGGAGCAGGTAAGCAGACAAACACAACAGACACACACTCCGGGGAGCCAATGCCAACAATAGTTTGGACAAAAGGACAAATGAGCAGGACAGACTCTTTCCGTGACACTGACAAGCCACAGCAAGGTACAAAGTGTGAACGGACAGCACCTTTATCTCCTTGCTCATATAGGGTCAGAACAGTGATACCATCTCTGCTAACTACAAATTGCAGAGTGAGAATTCATCTTAAGTCTTGCTGACAAGAATGCAGGTCGGAGGTGGAATAAACACCTGCTGAGATAATCCGCTGTGCTTGATTTACCACTGCATTTACATGAAAAGCACCAAGGGGGTTCTTCTTAAGGGGTAGCATACACTTGCACCACATATATGAAAAACGGCAGGTTATAGAAATGTTGAGACTCTTTGTTGCAAAGTAACCACAAGTGGTTTCTCCTCCTTGTAAAGAATAACAAGATGTTCTTCACAGTACTGACATACAACAGTGTATTTCTGACTAAATCCATTTCAATGTTCATGGATTCCCAACATATGACTATTTATTAGATCGCAAATGAGAGTGTTTTTTTTTGTCTTGGTTTAATTTTAAACAAACAAATAAATAAACCATGCAGAGGTACGTTTGAAGAAAACGAGAAAAGGAACGAAAACTTTGATTTTACTCATAATCTATATCTTCTATAAAAATATAGAAAATTGCATTGGTAGTTTGTGTCGGAGGAGGGACTGAACAAATAAAAATTCAGAGGTATTCAGTTCAGCAGTATTAACACAGTGGAAAACAATGAATAATTGACTCATTTGAATGGCAAATTTCAATTTTAGAGGTTGCTTTACTGGTGTGAGAACAGTAGAAAAATTGTTAAGCACATAGAAGAGAGAGTGACCATCCTTCTCTTGAAGTTGGCCTAGCAGAAACTCAGGAGGGCTTTGATACAAGAATCTGTACAATCTGCAAAATTGTGTGTGGATCATTTATTGCAAGAGTTACAAGTGGTTAAGTGCCTTCACATGCGATGGGAGAACTGAAAGTGCCTCGTCTGTACAGACTGATCCATTCATTGCCATGTAAATGGGTAGGCAGCGATAAATAGCACTGAAGTCAGCTTTATTACATTCACTGAATCTTGGCTTCCCTGAATAAGACACTCTGGGTTGGATCTGGCCATGCTGACATTTTAGTCATTTCTATGTACAAACCCAGCCTGCGTATAAACTTCAAAAGGATTAGAGAAGAGTAATGATATCAGAAGGATCTACACACATACTATAGAGTGGATGCCACTGATCAAACAGTGGATGGAGTTCCTGGGGTCAGAGTCATATATCAGGTTTCTAAATATAGCGTCATTGTCTCTTGTTATCTGCCACCAGAAGGCTTGAACCTGAGCTGTGACTCACACACTGTCTTTCTCACATTCTGATGGTGTCACTGCTAAATAAGTGGTGATGTGTTTAAAATTAGCCGTATTCTGTAGGTGGTTGTTAAGACTACACTGATGAACAGAGTGACCATGTGGGTTAACATAGACACAGTGTGATTGAGATAACATGGCGACTGAATTTCTGCAGAACTGTAACTGATATGTTGCCAGTAGAAATGCACAAGGTTGGAATTTTGCCGATATCTGACATGCTGATATTTTCCAAATCATTTTTTGTGTGATTGCTGATCTCCATATCGACATATGCACATATTATTTCCACCCTAATTGCAGAGAACATCAGGAGTCTCCTGATGTAGTGCAACCGACATATTAGTATGCCAACTCTTAATGTGCTGGCCAGCTGGCAGATGTAGACATAAAATATGCTTCTTTTATGATCACCAATGTGAACAAGGTTGAGCATTAGTCAGCATCATCTTATCTGCCTGTCAGTGTTCATTTTGGGCTGATGCTAATATTGAATTTCAAAACCTCTACGTGAACCCCTAATTGCCAGCCAGAGATCTCCCCCCAAATAAACACCTACAATGCAATGAAATCCCATTGTGTTTTATTTGTTCTAATTTGTACCATGACCAAATGTCTTTAGTATTACAGAAACACCAGAAAACATGAGGAATTAACTAGTTTGTTTTTGAATATTTGGCAATTTCTACAGAAAAGCCGTGCAACTGTCTTTGTGGCTGACAGCAATTCTGTTGAGAATTCAGGATAATGGAACTAACTCCACCTTCATTACAGCTGAAACAAATTAAATTTTCCTGCACAACATGCACATCAGATAAACCCTTTAAAGGATATGAACAGAATGATTCTTTAAAGAATAAAATAATTTGGAAAAGGGAAGTGTATCCTAAAAGCTAGGAAAGCATCTGAGAGAAAAAAAAAACATACGAACTAAAAGAATACTCAACACTTCCTTCTGTCCTATATGCTCTTTTTAACAGCTCATTCTAATCTATGTGCAAATGGTATAAATAAAAACTGAAATAACAGCTTAAGGGCCGACCAGTCTCTGATTTCTTGTACCACCTTGGATGAGAAACTAATTATTAAAATCAGACCTATAACAGGAATCATTTTGCCTCTGGACTTATCTTTGGAAAAATCATGTGTAGCAGTGGAGGGATTAATGCTTTTCAGCTATTTTGGTTCCGGAGCTGAAGACCACCATCTGCCCCAAAGGCGTTTTTTTTTCTCTCCCTCTCTCTCTCTCTCTCTCTCTCTCTCCATCTTTTACTCGTGTTCTGCTGCATTCGTGCCTTCACGCTGTCACTGTACATGAGGCGTACCTTAATGTGCTGATACTCTTTCTCTTCCTCTTGTAATACCTCCAGCTGCTTCAGAACAGATTCCTGCTGGAACTCTCCCCGTTCAACCTACATAGAAATCAAGCAAAGTATATTAGGAGTCTGTGTAGTTTCTGAAACTCTCCCACTCAGAGTGAAAAAGAAAAAAAAAAAAAAAGAAAAAGAAAAACATTTTGAGATGGATGGGTTTAACTTTTATCATTTGTTCTTCTTTTTTAATATCACTCAGACATGCTTCACCTTCACTTGGGGCTGGCAGGGAGCATTAATAATTTATCCATGAATATCTTTTATTTATCTTTACAAAATGCAGATTTGTGAGGTAGCTAAGCTCATTTCCATGCGCTAACATCAAGTGCCGACTGTATTAAGTATTTTGAAAGAAAATGTAATCCAAAGGCTCTAACTACAAATAGTCCAGCCCTGGGGCAAACTGCATGAAAACCAAAACACTGGTAGAGCTCAAAAGAGGAAACAGTTCTTTGTGTGTCTAGCAGGCATGTAGATATAGAAGTACACCCACTGTAGGATTACCCAGTATGCATCAGCATCTCTATAGTTAAAATGTATTGGGGTCTGCACTCTGCTCATAGGACGAGTGGCATCATGTTGATAAATATAAACCCTATGTGTTGACTACATACAGCACATACATAATCTGCATGCCTTTCTGTTCTTCAACTACTCATGTAATAATGTATTCCACAAAAAATAGCAATACCAATTGTGGAGTGCATTCATTGTGCAACTGTCAGCTTTTAAAGGACATGCAAAAAAAGAAAGAAAAACATATCGAGATGGTACTTCTGAAAACACGAACAAGAAAGTAGTATGTTGCGACACTCACACTCACCATCAGCTGTTTCATGGAGGTGTGCTCTTCATTTTCCCGGGCTGCATTGTGGTCTTTGTGCACAATCTCTACCCGAATGTCGTTTTTTGCCGACACAACTCCTTTTAGATCTGGCAGAAACAGATGACACGTATATCTTAATAAGCTGGATAAACACCATTCTGTATTTGTTGACATTATAATTTCCCCCAGTGCTGTTTGCAGAACTACAGAATTTAACAAAGATCCCTGGGTTTGCTTTGTTAGAGCTCCCCCATTTCCCGAAAACAATACAAAGCATTATTAATCATTTGTTTCCTGCCAAGACAAGATTATCTTTTTCTGCATATATATGCAATCTCACACAGCCTTCCACGGTGGCTCATTCTGTTTGGGACAATGCTGATGTTATACTGTCATATAACAAAGTCTTACTTTCTGTCTTAATTTTGCTTGCAAGTTCTCTCTGGTGAGCACAGATGGAGACGGGCAGTGAGGGCATAACCAGGTGCGCTTCCTCTGTAGTATACAGACAATAGACATGCTGAAGGGACCAGTAGCACAGTGTGGTTCTTGGATAGAGACAGTGGCTGACTGTCTCTAACCTGAGTCACTTGGTATATGGGTGGGTGGCAGTGAACATAGCGCAGGATGTAAATAGCCTCAAAAGCGAATGCAGCCAGACTGAGATTGCATGAAATGAGCCCTTATCACAATCTGGCTATCTCTGCATCACAAAAAGATGTCCATCTCAACCAAGGATTTCATCTTGTACTGAGTGTTACACTATGTTCAAGAATCTAGAATCTTACTTGTGTCAGGTATTTCTTGCGATGTACTACAATGTGTGTGTGTGTGTGTTTTTAAATAGACCTACCATATTTAAGAGACCTCAACTCAAAATTTGTCTACAACCAAATCTGTATAATTTTATTTTTATATAAATATATATATATATATACTGAAATTACTACAATATTTACATTTGAATTGATGGACATTTTTGTGTGCTTTGGGAAAATACAGTACTTTGGCATGCATGCTTCAGTGGGTGTAACATGGGAAAAGAGACGTACTTCTCTGGGATCGAGTGCAACAGAATGCTCCGATGGTGCCCATGAGGACAATGAGGGCCACGAAAGCTCCCACAGCAATGCCGATGATCACCGCCACAGGGAGAGATTCTGCACAGAGGAACAAAATGACATGTCCTTCTACAATAACATACCACAAACATCTCGTATGTACATTGTATTCTATGTAGGGTATGAGACAGAAGATTACACAGCAGCATATGCTCACAAGATGTGCCGGCCGCTTTTCCTTTTCAAACACACATGCACCAGCTCGTCGCCCTTTTTTCAGTCTATCCAACAAACAGCTACTCGGGGAGGATGCGCTATATTTTAGCCCTCTAAGTGACTCTGACGTTATCCTATAGGCACAAAGCCAGGTAATAAAAACACACAGGCACAATGCCACAGGGGGGGAAAAACTGTTCTGGACTGTATGTCTGAACAACAGCAAATTCAAACAAAAACTAATTACTAAACCTTTTTGTTATCAGTGTGGGTAAACATTTTCCTACTAATATTGTCTCATTATCCTACTGTCTAATAACTTTTAATTTACACTCATTTAGGCTAATAGAAGCATTTCACTAAGGGCATTTATTTTCATTGAGTACACTGTAAGAGTTGTGTGCATTCGTTTAAGCGTAATTGTGTTTGTGTGTTTCTGCACATGTTAATGTTTGCTACTGGGAAGAGACTAAACCAGGAATATCTATATGCTGTTCCAACAGTAAAGGTTCTCATTAAAACACACTTTAATGAGAACCTGAGTTACCAGCTCACATTTATGACCTTCTTGCATTTTAAACAAATGCAAACAATCAAGTGCTCTTCCTACACCATTAAAGCCTATTTAATGTCTTCATTGATCAATGTCACTTTCACATAAGCAGCTTATAATTTATCATTTGAGATAAGTGGATAGAAAACATGGCTTCCCCTACGATAGAGGGGAAAAGGTCACTGAAAAAAGTATTCAGATCTGAAGAAAAAGACATTTAAAAGACTGTTTTCCACATTTTTTTGTTTTTTTACATTAAAAAGCTTCACGGGAGGTGTATTTTATATTAAGCCTGTGTATGTTAAGGGTCACCAGGTTAAATTAGTAAGGAGTTTAACTTTATTTTATCCTAGGAAACTAATTTGTCAGGAATTTATCTGTGTCATTATCACATTACAGTACATCAAACATTCCACAATACAGACCATGCACTTTAACAATGCACTGCACCATCATGCAGTTCAAAATTGCTAAAGGACTTTTTTTTTTTTTAACAACTTTGTTCTAATAGAATTTGAAGAAAAACAATCACAGATGGTCTTTATGTACTGCTGTACAAAACATAAAGTATATACTCACCTTATAATATACTAAAATATACGTACAAATAGAATTCAATTGATCTATTCAATATGTTTTGCTTTTATTTGCTATTGTATATTAATCTTACTCATAGCTGACCGATTCGTCATAAAATCCTGTCTGATGCACCCTTTTATATGAAAGCACATTCACACAGAAACACACTGACTCACACAGTAAAAAGTACAATCACAAGCTCACCAACACATCACCACAGGGATGCACACAAAACACTACAGCTTGGCCACTATCCACTATCACCATCTAGAAAACCACAGCCACGTGATTTGAAGAAGAGGAAGGTGGAACCTGTCGAACCTTGGCTCCCACCTTGTTCCTTAAGGCGTATGATCTCCGTGTCAGAGCCAAAGCTGTTCCAGGCAGTGCAGTTGTAGATAGTCTGGAAGTCAGCTGGGACAATGTTGCTCATGGTCAATGTAGAAATCACTCCTTCTTCTGTGTTGACAGTTTCTACGGTGTAGCGCCCAGAAGTTCCAGACTCCAACACAGTTTCCTTCCATGACCATGCCTGAGAAAACAAAGGGCAAAGACGAGGTAATCACTATGTGAAGTCTTGGACCATTAGTGGTACTGCAGAACAATTTGTTTTTTAAAGATCAGACCCCTGTATTGCTTGAATGTCATGTTTTACAAATAGGTGCAAGGATTAGAAAAGGACACACATGCAAGACATCTTTGTAAAAATACAGGTTTTACCACATTTTATTGAAAACTTTGCAAACATTTTGCCATGCTAGAAGTGCAGCTGGTCCTTCGTATTTTTTCATTCTAAAATATGTCAAAGACTATCAGCTGAGATTCAAAGAAATTTTTGTGGCAATATTCTTGTTTTCCAAAAGACTGAAGTGTACAATGTGCTTTTATACAGTAGTTTAGTCCTATATAGTGGTTTTAAAAGCTACATGCTGTAAGCCTTTGTGTCTCAGACTAACAAACTATTTCAGTATGGTCAGTGACAAGTTTGATTGGGACAACCGTTGACAACAGCTGATAATGAGTGTTACCTTTTGTGGCATTGACTCAGCAAGGAACTAAAGGGTACTAAGTTCTCACAGTGTTCTTTACATGAGCTATTGTTGATCAGTGAATCCTCTTGTCAGTGGCTACTTGAGTTTCCAGGAAAGTGCTGTAGATGTAGTAATGGTGTGAGCTTCTTTACCTGAATGTTCTTTAATTAGTCACACAGTAATGTATGGTAAGGTCTTTATTTTCTAATGGTACACCTCTCCATGAAGATGCATGATGGCGATGAATAGATGAACCCGGTATTGTACAATAAGACAGGGGCAGTATGAGATGTTTTACTCGTAATGGTATGAATTACTGATATCAGTACATGGACATAAGCTCATTTTGTTTAGTGAATAGCTCAAAGAGCCAAAGAAGTCTCGGCTAGAGATGAATTAGTGGGAATACACTAAGGATGTTCTATGCTACTGTGTCTGGTTAAAACACTTTGAATGCTTAAAAACGTGGTTAAAATTGTGTTTGTTAACAGCCCATTTTCTGCTGTTCATTTCCATTTGACAATCTGCCAGCACTGAGATTTCTTCAGTATCTATAGACTGAGCTAATGTCTAATAGATAATTGCAAATTCCATGTACTCTAAGCAGTTCACCTCTCATTGCAGTGTTTGAATTAGTGTGCTTTTTGGATTTGGCTGTTAGGAGACTGCGTGCAACCACTTACACAGCGGTGCTTGCTGTGAAACAGAGCAATTAGAGGTACCGTGCATTATTTTCATTACAGTAAATAAATCTGATAGCAAAAAGAAGCAACTTTGAAATGTACTAAAGTAAAAATACAGATTCTGCCTTAATAACAACAACAAAAACCCGAGTTTTTAAAAATTGATTTAGTCTTTCTAAAGAAGGTGAATCTAGGACAATATTGCTTTTTTTTTTTTTACCTAACTCTTTAATGAGACAAGAGCACATGTAAAAAATGTTTCAATGCTTTGTCCTTTAGCGTACTGCGTATGTAATACAGAAATGTTTGAAATGTGAGTGGTGCTATTTTTTTTTTGTCTGGGTTCTGAGGAAAGCTCTATTTTCTGTCAAACAGCAGCCTTCTTATTCAGCCGAGAAACAAAACTTCATAAGATTGGGGCTCTTCAGTCGATCTGTGTAAATATATTCTTAGGCTTCAGGCTAGACTCTTCAAAATATTGAAGCACTGTATGATTTGTTGTGAATATGAGTACTTTCGAACATTTTGTTCAGGCCAATTCAAATTCATTTACTTAAAATATTTCTTTGAGAAACAATTGTGAAATAAACGCGTAAGATGTGGTCATGTCAATTTAAGCCCAATGACATGCGACCTTGATTATTATTATTATTACTATTTTAATGTACACATACAAATTATGAGGAGGTTTGAGCAAAGCATACGAAGTACAAGGAAGTGGTTGGTATCACACATCATGACCCACTGAGACTTCCTGTGATGTTGTAAGAGAAACACAGGAAAACAATAGAACTTAGGATATTTCTGACTCTATAACACATGCCTTTTAGTGGCCTCGTTTGTTCACCATGTCGGGGAATTTTTACTATGGATGACAATTGGTTGATTAATTTTTGCTTGACTTTGACTAAGGAGTAAATGCAATATGCTGAACGCAGAGCAAGACAGACAAGTTTGTACAGAAGATACACAATACCTTCCACTGTAAGTTTTCAGTGATGTATTTTCACATTCTTCTTTTGTGAAAAAATATTGTTAATCAGATATAAAGAATATAAAGTAACTGAAGCCATGAGCCTGCCTTGCTTTTTACCTGTAATAATTTTATAAAAATAGGTACACAGTGTTTTTCCTTTATCAAGGTTTAAGGATGTGGTTCAGTGTTCAGAGTCAAATTTCTTAACTTTTGTCATTGTCTGACTGAAACTGAGCTGATTTCAACTGACAAAACTAATTCTTCGGGTTGTGTCTTTTCACAGTAGTTTCTTTAAAAAAAACTTTGATATTCAAACATTTAGAACAAAGCAGCCCATTCTCCAATGACTATGCTGCTGGTTAATGTTGGCCATCAGTTTAATAAAAGTAAACATTAGACAACAGAGTATGGCAATTAGCCAAATGCACAAACACACACATACACATATTGACACACATAAACTGTGCAAAATTAGCTCAGAGATGTTTATCTAGGACGTATTCAACGGCAGACTGAGAGTTAAAGTGACATTTTCATGCAAGCATTTTCATACAGAAAAATGATTGAGCGAATACAACAAAATAAATATGTGTGCTGTTCATGTGGTGCAAACAGATCAATTGCGTGCTGGTAATATTTCATGCACCAATATGAAAAGAGTGGTCATCTAATTTGCATTGTTCAGGTGCCAAACATTCATCAAATAGCTATTTATGATTGTTGTTTTTGATTTGCACTTGCTATAAAAAATCAAGAAGATTTGAGACAAATGTGTGATCAAAATCAAAACAAACAGTCCAGATGCACTTACAATGCGGTCTGGAGGAGGTGTACTTCGGATGAAACACTTGATTTGTCCTTTTTCTCCATGTAAAGCTTGCTGAGTCTGTGTACTGGAGATCGTAGGTGGCCCTGAAAAAGAACAACCATAGAAAAAAAAGTAGTTTGAAGATGAGTCACAGAAATTGAAACATGAATAATTTAATTCATTTTCAGTGTCAGGTCATATGACAATTCTGCTCAATTGAGTTCTTGCTGGTGGATTATATTCTAAATGTCTCCTGTTCCAAGTAGTAACACCTGAAGTGTTCAGTAATTTGGGGCTCCTGGGGAAGATTGTATTGCAGTGAGATATGAAATGCCTCCTCCCTCTGTACAATCTAGCCAAGGACACACCCGGACTGAACAAAGGGCATAAGTGGTGGCCTAGACCTCATTCTGGATCAAGAAATTGTTGATTTATGGCTGGCTTGATTTCTCCCACTGAGATAAACGTTGTCCTCTGGAGCGTAATCAGGACTGCACAGATGGAAAGAGAAAATGCCTTTGTGGAGAGATAACACACTTGTCGCAGTGTTTCACCTCAATCAATTTGTTTGCAGCAGAGTTGACCCCGGAACCAATAGTTCACCAAATAAACATTATAAGCCTCAACTCTCTACAAATGCTCAAAATGATTTCCATGAATGACCAAAGATTTCAACAAGATACTGTGATTGCACAGATATTATATATTGTACATTTATGCAAGAGTCCCTTATCTGTCATTTGTATTATACCCCTTTTATAACCATTAGAACATGTCAAATATAATCCAGGTTTCTTATAAAGTAACCTTGATGAATGTAATGGCTTTATTAGCACTACAAGCCACTTAAACAAGGCCAGTTCAATCAACAAGAGCTGCAGGTACAGACTCCAAGCCAGCATATGTTAAACCTTGGTCACGCTACAAAATGTTGCCTGACAAGGGCAGCTCAGCCTAAACGAATGGTCTGCTTGCCATCTGGTCTGGAGGCTGCTCACACCAGGTGACAGCACTAATATGAAGACAAGATGTCACACACAACCCAATTCCGTCATTCATGTGTATTTCCCTTTGGTCCTGAAAGATTCACTGTAAGTAAAAAAAAAAACAGAAAAGTGGCTTTGGTTTACTTTATATCAAAAGTATACTTAAATAGATTTAATTACACTCTGATGGGGTTTAGTACGTGTTTTTTGTGTCGTTTCACACAGTACTTTTAAATTAAACTCTACAGCAGTTCAAGAGTTGTATGAAGGAAGCAGCCTGGTAATAGCTGCCTTGTTACATGAGAATCTGTACAAATAACATTTTCTGTTTCATTTGTTTTATCCTGTATGTACGCAAGTGTAACTGCTGACATGATCGGGCACATCTGAAAACCTTACATGGGCTACAATCAGCAGCCTTTACTTTGTTAACATGACAAAAAAACAATCCCTTATTTCACTTTTTCCAGCCTTGTCGTCATTTATATCTTGGATATAATTCAGTTTAAAAATATATACACGTGGTTATGTCAGCAGAAGCTGACATAATTGCTCACATCCACCTCTGCTTCCTTACATTTAAAAGCTGGGTTATTACAGAGATACTCCCACAAAAAAGCAACACCGGGAAGCGTCTCCACTGTGTCCTTTTATTTGCCAAAAAAGCCTTTAAAAAGCTGCTAAAATCAAACGATGTGTGTGTCTCTTGTGATGGCTAAGGTTAAGATTGTGGGTTTGAGGAGGTGGCAAGTGAGGCAGCTTCTTGATTAGTGAGACAACTCACATCCAGGCTGACTTCCCTCAAACTCCTGCTCTCTGCCATCTCTCTGACGATACATAATTGCAGTTTATTACCTGTCTCTTATTAAAATGAATTAGCATTTTAATGAGCCTTTGCCAGATGGTGTCTTGGTATGCTACTGGAGAATGCTGGAAGGCTGCTACTGCTGCACATTGAATGCGGCAGACAATTTAAGGGAAATGTATCGAAAGCTGTCCCCCTTTCGCTCACTGGTTTACTAACATGCAGTGATAGTTTTAATACAGTATGTGGACTATATGCTATAATTCAGATACCAAGTGCAATGTGCATGTACTAACTTGTGATTACAAGATGAAACAGAAGTATGTGGTTAGTATGAGCTCCAACTGTCAACACACAGCAAGATCAATTGCTTGCAGGCTGCAAAAGGCTGGTGGTAGTGGCTCGGGAGGATCTATTCTATGGATCAGAGCTGCAAATGAGGAATATAATTAGATAGCTTTATCTCACTGGCTCAGCCTGTGTTGAAAGCGCATGTGTGTGTGTGTGTGTGTGTGTGTGTATGCCGGTGTATGTGTGTAAAAGTACGTGTTTCCTACTTGCACGATGTGATCAGAGCACAAACACGTTAGTAGCTGGGAGGTGGGTGGTACTACAACATCAATGCTAGCAGCAGGGGAGGTAATCAAAATGTTGGGCACAATGTTTCACTCATTCATTTGAGGAGGTGTTAACTCTGGAGTGGACAATGTAATCTGATTACACAATATCGGTGTGGGTGTCAAAATGCCAAGGCTTACATTTCCTTCCTAAACTGAGGCATTCACTTTGAACAATACCTTGACATTTCCCCTCTACCTCAGTGCAGCTCTTTTGATTTCTCTATTTTCTTTTGTGATAAAAAGAGAGCACAAACTGCTACAGGGCAACTGAAACAGCGGAAAACTGTCTGGTATGGTCGCCGACATTTTCCCCTGAGAGAAATCCATAGTGATGGGATTCTGTCTATATGGTAAAGCTGTCAACCAGAGTCTGTTCTTACAGTCAATATTTTAACAAATCTAGTAAATTAAATATAATGACTTCTGTATTTGATGTATATTTAATGTATCCGAGAGATATAAATACATAGTTGGATGTTTGCGTATACATTTACAATAGATGGATGTAAACATTGCTCATATAGAGAATATATATGTCACTCTTCAATGTGTCCATACATAAAGAAACCAAAACATTAATTGGACACAGCTGTGAAGAGAAAGCAACTACATTGTTATTAAGTTGGTTGTCATTTGCTTAGAGAGGCTGTAAGAATTAATTACTGCTTATATGTTAATGCTCCTGCTGTTTTATTTGAACTACACTGTATCAAGATAACAGTAGACAGTCAGAGTGTGATTTCAACTCTGTCCATGATGGCTGAGCTGAGGTAGCCATCCTGTTTAACACATTAGCCTGCTCTGTTTGGATACATCTTTACAACAGGAACCAGACTGTATTTTCTTCTTGTTTCGTGTCCTGCATGCAGTGTGATCTATACTGTCCTCACACTGTGAAACACATCTGCAATGTCAACCAAGTGTCCGTGCCTCAGGCCACAGACTCTCATCATTTCATTTCACTGGTACAAATAGTGCAACCACAATCAATTTTTGCATACGGAGTCTTTGCACTATGTCAATATAAAGAGAAAACATCTACAATTAATAATGGAAATCAGCCAAAAACAGATTGTAATTTAACACTGTCTGTCTCGCGTTATGCACACAACCATCCATTTTCAATACAAAATAATACTCCTTAAGTGATTAGTCAATGTCAACAGTTGTGTTCTTGTGGGGAACATTTCTGAGTAATAGTAATGCAAATCATGTACTGAATGAGGATTAAATTGCTTGACACTACATTATTATCAGTCTCATTTGTAATTGTCTTATATTTAGATTTAAAATCTAGTTGATGTTTTCACTATAAATGGATTATCTTGTGCTTTCAAAGGAAGATTATTGATCTTTATTCAAAAATGTCTCGTGACTTGTCTTGAAAAGCAACCATATTTTTAAAAACTTAATCCAAGGGACATGCCAATCTACAGGCTCCCTTTACAATAACTAGGCTAAACTAAACTGTTTGGAATTAGTGCTTTTGATCTTATTTCAAAACTTTATGTGTTATCATCATGGCCTGATTTATTTTAAGATGTTTTGAGTAATTTACTTACTACACTGGCATCTAAAGTTGCTTGTTTTAGGTACCGACACGCTTATATTTAAAATGTTTGGCCTCAAAGTTGATGGGGACTTTTTTAGGTTTTTTTTAAACAGTGTGTTGCATCTGTTAAAATCCAGTGATTTTTTTCTTATCTACATCTTATTAACAAAAGATGATTGCTGGTAAAGTGTTTCCTACAATGTAAAGTGGCTTAACTAGCTAAATGCGTGCTGCAGTGGTGCATTTGCACTGCTCTGATGCTTAATTTATAGGGGCAATGGATTCATCAATGTGAATAAAAGTATAACTTTTATTTTAGGTATGTAATATGTAACATTACTGCCAATTACATTAGAAGTAATTATCTTGATACACAGTGTGTAAGCCCATGCCATTCAAAAACTGTGTGTATTAGTGAAACTGACCATCTAAATCTCCACTGTGACTTACACACATTTGGATGCCCACATCCAGACAAATTGACTGCAGAAACACACAGTATCATCACATTCTGATCAACCAGTGTGAGACTATAATAACAGTAATGACCCGTCGACCCCAGCAATGTGCAGGAGAGACGATCTAATTAGTGCTATTAGATAGTGAATAGTAATACTATCTCCTGCAGAAAAAAAGTCCAATTTTTTCTGTCAGTCCTTCACCCAGTACAATTATATGATGGAACTTCTCGTGTCAGGCTTGCTTGTTGCTGGAGAACTTAATGTCAGTAACACAGTGTTTAGTCCTACTATATTCAGATAACAGGTTTAACCTTTGCTGTTAGCCCGTGCTGAAATGTTGTCTTTAATGTGAATTCCTATTTATTTAACTGAAGGAAGATGCAAGCTGGCATGAGAGCCTCTTGATTATGAATGTGCTGGCTTTTTATCTCTAGCCGTCCTTCGCACTTCATTGGATTTCCAGATGTCTCAACCATTCTGCCCTCGCTGGATACATAAAGGACACCTTGGAGCTGTTGACCTCCAAGCTGTAGTGCCGCAGCAATCATATGAGCACGTGTAAGCAAGCATAAACTTTTAAACAAATCTCACTGCACATCTGCAGTATCTCCTCAAACGGGGTGAGGGGAATAAATTAATGATATTATAAAATATATATTTTCACATATGAAAAATAATGTCTGAGCTGAGTAGAGGCAAAGCATGTCAGAGGTACACATAATGGAGAAAGTGAGTTCAAAGTCTTCTGGAAAAGTTTTGCAGATCATATCTTACTATGCTTAAATGTGCTGCATCTTAAATGCAGTTTTCTCCTTCATTAATTTGCACTTTTCTTTCTTATACGAAGTCACTGCCGGTTTAAAGGAGGCTGGAATGCTAATTAACTAGGCACATAAAGACTGTCTAGAAAAAGAAACGACAGAAAAAAGATCTATAACAACCCAGTACTCTGTGGGATATTGGGGGTTTCTCTGGCCCTCCGTCTCCCTTACTGTGGTAATGGGTTTTCTCTCCCTAGGCTGCCTAAGTACTGCATGTGTGTCATTATACATATTACTTTGCCCAAAGACACACACAGACTCACAAACACAAATGGAGGTCTACTCATGCACGTGGATGTATTAATTAATATGTATTGCATGAATATGTGGTGCTTAAGTTAAAAGCCAAATCCTTTCAAGCATGTCAGATAATTTCTCTCATTCCAACAGGATGGTGAAAAAAAAAAAAAAAACCTCACATACATATTGTATGCTATATAAATAATGACACGCATGGAAGTCCTTCATATGTGTAGCCACTCGACAACCACATATGAAATGCTGAGGAGCTTCCCGTTCTGAAAATGTTTGACTAGAGTAAGCAATATGTATCCATTAGTGACTTAAACACAAACTGCCTCCCCTGCTAGCTGTTTGATTATAATTAAATTACGTTCTTCCCCAGGGAAAGCAAAATCCTCATGTCTATGTGGTGTGCCACAGTGGGAGCCAGTGACACAAAATGACAGAGGGAGAGAGACAGAGGGAATGACAAATTATAAACACATGTAATTTAAATGATGGCATTAAGGAATCAGGGGATAACTGCAGGGAAAACAAACAGCAAAGAAACATTCAAATGCACCGCAGACACTGTCGCACCATGAATACTGTGAATGTGCACAGCGCTGCCTGAGTTGTTTCTGTATCATAGTCCCAAAAAAACTCACTCATCTGTTATGTTAGTGATTCACTGTCAGAATCAATTGAGTTCTGCTGACCGTCAGTGATGTTGGGCTTAACAGGCTGATGAGAGGTAAAGAGAGCTCACGTTGATCGGCAGTTGAGACAGTGGCACAGGACAATCAATGAACCCCGGGAGAGAGGTCCCCACACGCCACCACTTCAACCACAGTGTTTGCACTTTCACAAGTTTGACAATCTGATTCACCTCAAAGTCTGGGTTAGAAATGACTCACAATTCCTCGTGTGGTTTAGAGGGGGAAAAAAGAGATGAATTTCAATTATTCAGAAGGGTAAAAGGGAAGGAGGCCTTGAATGTCAAATAACAATTCGGGCAAGGAGGTACAAGAGCCAAAAAAAGGAAAAGCAGAATACCAACAAATGAAAAGACTAGAAGACACTGCAAACATGCTCAAATGTGAAATCTACAGAGACTGAATAAACACGCTATTTCGCTTTGCAGCATGTTTCCGAGCATGCTCTGTGTTGTGTTGTAATCTTTATTAAAACAATCCATCACTTTTCTTTCATGGCATCATTTTAAAAAAAGCGACAAAATCTCCTTTAGTTATATGAGCAGAAAAGAGATGCATTGACATAAACTGGTGCATTGGATATAGTAGATTCTATTTACAGATTAAGGCTGCAGAAAGGATGCCAGCATAGGTTGCAATCAAAAGAATTGGAATTATATAGAATAGAATTAGTCATGAATTTGTCTCTTCTCCCTTGATTTCGACTGAATTCCTGGCTGAGAATAAGGAAGCTCACTGCAGTTCATAGAAAGTCATGGTTCTGATCTTGTGCTGGAGGGAATACTGGTATCCCATTCTCTCTGATATGCAAAGCTCGCGTCTGGATTTTGAAAAGAAAATCTTTAAACACACTGTTTGCTACTTGATGTATCTTCATCCCCAAATCAGCACCAGTGTTGCTTACAGGCAAACTCTTTTGTTAGCTTTCAAAATGTGCAATGTTACACTGTGAGCATTAACTCAGCACCATCTTGCCAGCATCATAATGCTCTCTTGTTTTTTTTTTCCGTTTTCTTTTTTTCCCTCTTAATTTGGCACAAGCTTCTTTCAGATGGACACAGGGAAAATAAGAACCATGTAAATCCCACAACTAAGAACCTCTGCCACACCGAAGCATGCTCCATGAATATCAAGCACTGATAATGAAGTCATTTGTTTGAGAGTTGCCAGGTCTCCCACCAAGGCTGGTATTCATTAGTCAGTCAGTGCCTCAGAAAAGGCAGCTTCCCTGTGACTCATGCAGAATATAATTAGCATTTAAGTACATTTCACCTGTTTATGAAATGTGTAGCCGTATCTTAAAAATATGCATGTATGTTTTAATTTTAAAGGTTTCTCAATGATGACAGTTGCTGGAACAGGTGTATTTTATCACATAACCTCTGTTTGCATGGATTTATTTTTGTGCCACCTTCCTGCTGTATGTGGTGGCTTGAGTTTTGTTACTATGCCTGCCAGGTACAATTAGTTGTGTCTCCAGGAAACTGATACATTAAATGAAAAAAGACTACAAGAGTAATGCAGCGGCATATTCTGTTGGAAGTTTTACAGCAGACAGCTAATGTAAACTACAGAGGAAGCAGAATACTGACTCCTGTGACAAATTGCTTTCTTCTTGCCGTTGTTGACCCTGGACCTCAAGATTCACATTTGGATGTGTATGCATTTGACAATTCTGTAGGTCTGCATCAGGACTTGTTTGTGTGTAAAAGACATCAGTAGTGCAGCTTACCATTGACAGTAAGAGAAACCTCCTTCTCCCCTGCTCCAACACGTGGGACAACAGCACGGCAAACGTATTTCCCAGCGTCCTCCTGTCTCACGGATTTCAGTGTCAGGAGATTTTCGTTGCTAAGAACCTGCAGCAAAGAAGTCAGAGATCATCAAATGCAGTGACTGCAGAGGCACCTTTGCATTTGTGATGACAACAAGTCAGCGGTAAGGGAAAAACTCAGGCAGCACATGGACCATTTAATACCTTAAAGGGCACCTCTTCTCAATTATTAAAATCCAATTTAAGGTCTTAGCTCAGTAGAGTAAGGCTTTGGCCTTTGATGTTGACAAAAGGAAAGGTGGAATGAGTCTGAGTTTGTGGATCAAATCAATGGATCTCATATGAGAGCAGGTCACCAAGAGGCTGAGGCATTAACGGTCTCAAAATTTTAGGTTTAATGGACTTTTCGATCCACACAGCTGTGGTATAAAATAACTACCTAAAATACTTTGTATAGGCCATGAAAGTTCTGAAATGATAGCCTTAAACAGCTTTACATCGACTGTAAGTCACAGTATGAAATCATATATTGTATAAAATATGCTTGGTCAGTGCAGACCAATTAACTCACCACTCCTGAGCCCCTTTTCATCCACACTATGGTAAGAGAGGGATTTCCTGTCCAGGCACAGTTGAAGACAGCATCGGATCCAAGGTCAACCTGCAAGGACTGAGGCTCCGCAGCCATGCGAGGGCCAACTATTGACAGAAACATCATTAACTGTCTATGACGCATCCATAACTAAACATCAGATGTTATGGCTCCAGCTCTTGGAAGTCGGTATCAAAATATAAAAGACGGCAAACATCCATAACCTAGCATTATTGCATTGCTGGCATTATACAGGCATGCAAGATTACTTAAGGAGCCACTCACAGTAGACATCAACGTTGCGGCTGATGTTGGTGCTGCCAAGGGGGTTGGTAACTTCACAGGAAACGGGTTCTATAAAGAAGGAGTGGTCCACAATAACCTCATATGTGTCTCCAGAGACCTCCTTGATTATACTTCCTCCTTTGGCCCACCTGGTGTGAGGATTAGAATATAGCGAAAGAAGAGATGGAGAAAAATGAAGGAAAAGACATTAAGACAGGTTTTCACACCTCCTCCTGGCAATAGCGATCTTTTGTGTGAATAAATCATCATTCTGGGGCAGGTTTTCTGTGCTGGCTTCAGCATATTTTTGTGGCAGCCCTCCATGCTGTGACAAGCTCCCTGGCAACTCAGAGCAGACAGCACGTTCCTCATTACGTCAGACAGAGAGTGCAGCACAGAGTGCCAGCAAAGAAAAACAAATCACAGAGTGACAAATGGGTAGCTCCTGCACCTTTGAAGACATTGCTTGACACATACTGTATTAAACACAACAGCTGACGTTAATAAATTGACACGGGATCACATAAAAAACATCTGTTTGTGCTCGTGAATGATAGCTTGTGTGACAGCGATGCAGACGCTCCCCACATGTTTAGGTGAGGCTTTTATGATGTCACGGGCAGAGGCGTCTCACTCTGCATGGTGTGGATGGCTCTCTGCGGCTGCAACAGACAAGGCCCATTTATAAAAATGAAGCAAAGGTACCTGTGGATGTGTTGGGTCTCTTTGGAAAATTTAGACAGCGCCGTGGGACATACAATGCATCATGTGCGCCGATATCCTCCACAATAGATATGTGGCTGCATGCTGATGTGGCAAATGAAAACAATGACAACGGAGCTCGTGCCTGTCTCCATTTTATATTCCTGCCAGTGCTGAGAAGAGTTTTTCACGGGATAGGGAACTCATTTGTTTTCCTTGACTAAGCTGGCCCCATGCTTGACTGAAATGCTATCATTTAAATGAGAACAGATTACCTCATTCAATCAGTAAGCGAAGTGAAGCAGAATTCTAATTGGGCTTCATGGGATTTTTTTCATGCTCGTTTATTTTAAGCAGTAGATCTTTACAGAGCTGTGTTCTTGTGTGACAAGGATACAGCTGAGAGCTCGGCAACACCTGTGTTTCCAAAAATGTTGAATTTAGGCCAGACGGGTGGTTTTGGCCCATCTGCCCTAACGTCTGATCGAGTGGTAGAAGTGCTGATATGCTGGATAGTTTGTGGGGAGAATATAGGATACATGCTTTATATCTGCAAGCTCTAATTAACTGAATATCCTCAAAATATTTGCACAATCCATGTAGTTGCTCAATATCGAAATACAAGAAAAGTTTGTAAAATCCATGCTGGTAATGATGATGACAGTTGATGTTTATGGCACTCCGTCCCTGAATATGAATATCATTATCAATATTTCAGCTTCTGTTTATATGACTATGATGATAAAGATGTTGATGGTGAATAAGTCATTAATTGCACTTGTGACAGTGGTGGTAATCATGATGAAGACAATAATGATGATGATTAGGATGTTGAGAATGATGATGACGATGACGACAAAGAAGAACATCATAATGATGTGGGGATTAGATTGGAGTTTGATTTCAAAGTTACTCCTTGCTGTTGGAAACAGAAATTGCCAAAGAAACTTCCATGAGTCTTCCTATCACTAATTGTTGTGGGGTTTTCAGCTATAGCACAAAAAATGAAAAGTCCTCAGAAAAATTAAACATTTGAACAGCTACTTTCTAAAATCAGGCTCATATGATGTTTGTTTAAAAGTTCCAGAGCTGCTAAACAGACCCAACAAACCGAAAAGATGGTGTTACAGATGAGAACACAACAGTGATGTGATGTCTATCACATCTAAAGATATAGGAGTACGTCACTGTTTCCACCTACACTTTACCAGCTCATACTGTAGGAGTCGTTACGGGGTAAGCACAGATGTTTGGGCAGCCGGCTGCTCCCGAGTGGGGGTTGCGGCTGCCAGGTTTGGGAGCCCTTGACAGTGTTAGAGGCAGCGGAGACAGAATGCCGTCATCCGCAGGGAACATGGGAGCTCTGTTGGTGTGCTGGGCCTTGTCCAAGACTCATGTCTAAACATAGCTGGCCCAGGGTAACACAAACACCTGCATTCCCTTTGGGAGGTTATAAGGGCCAGTGCAAGCTTACTCAATAGCTGACTCACTTTACACTGCCGTATCCTATTCGGGGATTTGATTCAGACAAACGGTGTGAATCCTGTGCGCTTGAGTGTTTACAGTCTGTGCATGGCTATGTGTGTGCATGCACATCTGGCGTGTTTATGCGTGTTCATGGGTGTGTAAGCTAACACTGCTGCGTAGATAAAAGGTCTGCCGTTAATGGAAGCAGGGAATGAAAGTAATGTGGGAGAGGGGGAGAGCTTTGTATTTGCTGAATGTGATTAAGGCAATAAAACAGTAACAATTAAATTAAGCAGGTATCTGTGCCATCAGCATCAAGACTCACAGTAAATCAAGCCCTACAGTTATTATCAGCATGGTTAAGCACAGCACAGTGCGTTTCTATTCTGCCTTCCGTGCATATTGAAAGTGATGACTACTCTCAGTGGAATATAAAATAAATATGCAAGTTTAGTAATAGCAAGCAGTCATTTTGACATGGACATAAATGACAGAGCTGTTTTATAATCTCCTAAGAAAATGATGCAAGTTCTGCTCATATCTACCTACATGCACATATCTATTAAAAACAAAGACATCTGCAGTGTGTTCCTTAAAAAAGTTAGGAAACCTTAAAAAGTTAGGAAGAACAATCAACTTTTCCAAGGGCACTTTATTCAAGCACTGTGAATTTTACCAGTATTTTACTTAACTTTTCAGGGTCATGCTAAGCTTCTGCAAGCTTTTCACAGCTTTGTAATGTTGAGTGACAATTTTAAGTAAACTTCCAACTTCCCAGCGTCACCTTGGTTTACATGCTTACAGATACAATGTACATTATTCTACATGTTTGCAACTACATGTGGTTTTGCACCTCGCCCCTTAGTCATTTAATTATTATGAGTTTGTTTTTTTTTGTTTTTTTAAAGTAACACTTTTTGAACCCCTCAAAACTCACTGGCCTGAATTTGGGTAGAGCGAAAATTCCGCCTACTGTATTTTTAATCGCATTGTCCCAGATTATGCATCATTTCAAAGCACAAAGCCTCATGATTCAAGCGGTGTAAACAACTTTAAGATAACAATACCACAGTTACAATAGCAGCAGCAGCAGCAGTAGTTCCTTACTTTGTAATAAGAGTGCATACACAGCAAAACAGCAGCTTCTTACCTTTTCTGTCATCTACAGAGGCACATACTTGCTGTGTCCTGATGTGCCTCAAACTATTTTCACTGCGAGAGTCCAACAAACACAGTGCTTTCAAGCTTTTTGTCTTTTTTAGTAAAAAAATGGGGGTGAGTGTTAAGGGGTTAAAGTGATGTTTTATTTCACACAGCTCCACATACACAATCGTGTATGGCTACAGCTAATTTAAGCATAAAGATTGTGACTGGGGAATTGTAGACACGTCCAAAAGCACACAGTGGCATGGAACAAAATGTATCAATTAGCTACCTCCAAGGTTTGGAAAGAAGGAAGGTATGGTGATTGTAGTGTCAGTCAAAAGCAAACAAACAATCTAACAGTAGCAACAGCAATGCAGAGAATGTAAGTGCGGAAAGAACTGGGATGTTATTTGCAGAACCATGCAAAGGAAGGGGGTTTTGTTGTCGCTCTGTGCATGGTTATATGTGCAGATGAGGGACCTGATTTGCTTTGTTTGTTATTCTTTCTCTTCTCTCCAGTGGGTTCTTGTTTGGATCTGAGAAAACCCTCTGTGTCTTCATCAGATGGTGGTTGAGTGATTGTGATGTTTGCCATTTATCCTCCCCTACCATTATAAACAGTAATGAAGATGTTCCATCCCACTCGTCGTTCCCTCCCAGAGTGTGTTGATTCCCTCAGTGCTGACTGAAACACTTGCCTATTACTCTTACTTTATTCAGACTTTTCAACATCACTTTCATCTTCACTCCCAACCCCTCTCACCAAAGTCCTCTTATTCCCTCTTTGCTCTCCCCTTGAGCTGTGATCTGGCAAAAGATCAGGTATCTGTAAAAATATATCTTATTTCCATTTTCACTTTTTAAGTCAGATTTATTGAACCAGTGTCGTAATCACAAGGGGCTATAGGCAGCAGAAGGCACCATCCCTTTGACTAGTGCCCCTACTATCTTGGGTCTGTGTCTCAAGTGTCCATTGAATTGGAGGATGGCAAAGTGGCGCAGTGCACATTGGGAATGGATGGCTCTCTCGGGAGTGGAAAAGAGGCCATCCGTCTAAGAACTACTCCGTCCTTGTGCTGTATCTGATCTGGGGTAGACAGAGTGTATTAGCACTGAATAATGGCCCCACACTGCTTGACCAGCTTCCTGCTCTCCTCTGTGATATTGCTCTCTAGAGGGGGAATTTGTGGGGGCCTCTCCCTAGTCGAAGCCTCTCAGGCAAGCATTATGAGGCCTAAAAATCCCCTGTCTGCGATGCCCTGAACGCCAGTGGTGCATGGGAGTCCTGAACTGCTGGTATAAATTGCAGATAAATCTAAATGGGGGACTATGAAACTGTAGAACTGGCAAGGAGTGCAACCTTGAAGTATCAAAAGTTATTAGTCTGACTATTTTATTTTAATCCTGCAGTGGGTTGTGTCAATAACAGGGAGCCAGAAAGCAGAAAGACAGCCGCGGAGAGAAGAAAAACAGGGGGGAAAAATGAATTAGAGAGTAGGAAAATTGTGGTTTAAGTCTGTTTTAGCTTCAACCTTCAACCATTTTTCATTTTATAGTTTGTCAAACTAAAAGAAAAAGTCATCTCAACTGCCATTGAATTTTAGCTCTTCAGACCCTGGGGAGAAGTCTGATTCTAACATTGATCCGGTCTCATAACAATAGAGGTGAAATCTCTTTGCAGGTGAAATAGACATTCTGTCTCTGCTGTGCACCTACACAATCAAATACAAACCTTGTTTTCCACAATATCACTGCCCTCCCTCCCCCTTTCCTTTTTCAAAAGGGCAGGATCCATCAAAAAGGCAACATCTCTGTTTTGCCACCTGTGAGTGTGTTGTACATCCATTTCATTTCCCAGTACCATTACAAGATTCAGAGCCAGCCAATTCCCTTTGCTATCGATTTCACTCCATTTATTTTTTTTGCCGGGTTTTAAAAACCTCCCACACAGAAAACCATCTCTTGACAAATCGTTTCAGTATTACACTTCTGAAGGGTCATGCAAGACTTTATGAGAACAATTAATGTCCATTTTCCTGTTTCAGCACAGTTTCATATGAAATAAACAAAATTATTCCAACAAGTACAACAGAAAATGTGCCACCGAGGTTAACTAAAGGGGAAACTCTTGAAGAATGATGGCGTATGCTTGCTTATGTTATTGTCTTTTTATTTTTTCTGCTTTTGAAACCTGATGTGATATGTGGCGGCTACAAGTCATTTTCAGTAAAAAACTTGAGTGGGGTTGAGGAGCTGTTTGGCCATCAACTCATCAGTATTTTGGATTACAACAGGAACTTGGAGGGCTTTGTATATTTCAACAAACTGCTGCTAGATAATTTTAGATTAAGTCTATTTAATATCTATTGATGGACTGATTGGATGATGCTGTAGATGCACCACCAAATGTTAAACATACGTGTTATATGCTGAGATTGTAAAATGCTAACACTAAACAAAGACAAAATCTTGTAATTGAATGTAATGTGGAATTATAGATATTTGTTTAACATCAACACTGTCTGAAAACAGGGTTATATGGAATACATTATTATTTGTAGAAGTGAATGAAGCTTTCCATGCTGTACATGTAAAAACATAGAAGGTGCATAGGTGTACAACAATTTAATGAAATGTTGGAATCCTTGAATCCCTTGACATTTTGGACATTTTTTGTACTGTTGAAGCTTGCAGTTAAATTGAACTTCAAGGTTTTTTGTTTTGTTTTTTTGTCAACAACCTACACAAAACAACCAAACCGAAAACCCGTAATCCAAACTGTTATTGAACGTATTGAACATGAAAAAAAGAGTAGATGGGGACCACTTATGTTATCAAGAGTCATCTTTAAGTCATTCAGGTGATTTTCAGTAGCTGCCAAGTTTGTGCCTGTTCTGCACGGGGCCAGTAAAGAACTTTTGCATTCCTGTTGTGATGATTTCCCATCATATCATTTCTCCAATCTGTAGCCTTTGTACCTCAAAAAAAACGCAATAATGGTTCCAAACATACAAGTCTGTCTCTGTCCCCAACCACTCAGACGCAACAGCGTTCCACTGTCACTTCACAGTGGGAGCGATGTGTGATAAGATGGGTCCAGGTTCTTTCAAAGAGCAGCTGCATTTTGGAGTAAGTGCAATTTCAATTATTTTTTTATCAGAATAAAGTTTTTGATAAAGTCATGCTCTGGAGTTTGCCTGTTGCCTCTTTTCTGAAAAATAATGTATTAACTCTGCATTTCATGGCCATGTATTTATGGGTGTGAAGATAGTATGTTTATTTACAACAGAACATTCTGTCACATGTAAAATGCAATATTTTTAAAAAATGTAATCTTAAAAAATATATATATACAGTGAAATAAAAACAAAAACAAATTGCTTGAGCTTGAATTCAATTACCACTGTGCCACAAACACTAGACGATCTTATGAGGCTGTCTTTCAACACAATTGCAAAAACCCCAAAAAACAAAAATCTACAATCTTGACATCTTCCTCTTGTGTCATACATATTATATTCCCAGCTTTTCTTCAACACACTGATGGACATTTAAAGTTCAAGGGAGATAATCAGACCGCAAAGCAAACAGCTACGCAACAAAACTCGTTGCTTTGCTGCAGCCCAGTAAAACATGACAAGGCTTCCCAAATGATTTTTCAGGCGTGCATTTTCATTACATTTTCCAGCATGACAGCTTTTCATTCTTTTCTGTCTCTTCATTTCAAAGTGTGGGCAAGTATAATGGTGTCATGGCATCATAAAAAGGTGTCTGACAATGATTAACGCAATCAATAATGAAGTGTTAAATTTGACTCATTGTGAAAACGTATTATCCTCCAGCAACATCAATCAGGAAAGAGCATTAAGTTAATCGTGCCTGTTTTTCCTTCTCTTGCATACTATATAATCATTCATGGTTTGTGCATTCATGATGTGTGTGTGTGTGTGTGTGTGTGTGTGTATATGTGTGTGTACTTTAGAAACACTTCTTTTAAAAATATTATCTCACCTGTAGAGTGTGACAGGAGGGTTGGCCTTTGCAGAGCAGTGAAATTTCACGAGGTTGCCCTCCAGAACAGGCTGAGGCTCCACTGAAAGATTGACAAGTGGAAGATCTACAAAAAACACAGAGACACAAAGACAACCAATTACAGAACTGGCATCCTCCTCAAACATGCTGTACTGAACTGTAAGCCTGAGACAAACACTTTGTTGTTGACATTGTCTATGGCTAAATAAGGCACAGAAAGAAAAGAAAATACTAGTATATACTACAACATTTGCAGATGAGACAAAATCGACATAGAGAGGAAATTGCCACCTCAAAAGAAAAAAAAAAAAAAAAAGCCACACATGAAAAATAAATTTTCAATTTTATTCAGGGGACCTACATTCACCAAATGTCTTTTGTTTTGTGACCCAAAACTGATTTGGCAGGTTTTTATGTAGCTGCACCACACATGCTGTACTGTAGGTAAATACGCTCCACTTAAAACCACTGGGTCAAAGTCTTTTTTATTCTGATTATCTTACAATACGTTACAGCGGTGCTTAGAACAGTTGTGACAACTTATCACAGTTTGTGGCAGCATTTTCTCCCAAATAACAGGCAATTATTCCTGAATAATTCAGTGCCCTATTTTGATATTCCTACCGCCCACCAGGGGCCTAGACCCTGTTGTTGAACAACACTAGTGTAATTCACAGGTGTGGGGGATAACATGCTATTTTTATTCTCATATATTCATTAGCAGTGTTATAAGGAGAAAATCAAAGGAAAACTTGACTTGATAATGAGTTTCAGTAAATGGCAATTTGCAAACAGTGAATAGTCCATAGTGCAATTAAAACAATGAACAACCTTAGTGATACAGTCCAATTAAAACCGTTCTCACAATTACAAATATTGAGATTATGCAAATTTAATAAACAGCTTAATTTACCTAAATTGAGAAAGGTGGGATTCCTTTTGAAGATATGTTTGCATTTCCATATCAATCCTGTCCCATGTGAAACAAACAGCCATTTGCCTCACAGACTCTGAGAGCGAATTTCTAGTAAACTGTTAGTCAGGTTTTAAAAAAGATGCTGTGCATATTTTGTTCTGAGCCTCAAATGTACCAAGGGGAAATCATGAAACTGACAGCAGCTGACCATTTAAGTGTATATCTGCTGTTATTGAAGCATCAGTTGTATAAAGGGTATTTGAACAACTCGAACCTCCTCTATCAGCTGGCTGTAAAGAAAAACAAACGTTGTCGAACACACTGTGTCACTGCGCTACATGGAAGCACTTGTTTTTCTTTTCGTTTCTTTTTGGTACCAGTAGCATACTGGTGAGGCATCATAGGCAGCAGACTAGTCACAAGAGGAAAGAGCTGGTTCTGAGTTTGATGCCGGCGCAGCCATCTGTTTCAAAGGTATATCTGCTTTGTGTTCAGTAATACTAATGTACTAACCAGGAGCTGTGTTTGGATGTGGATGAAGAGAAGTGTGGTGGGCACAGAAATCCACACAGAATTAAAGAAGCACACAAACACCATTGTAATGAAGCCAAGCAACTCTGTGTATAGTTATGGAGAGTGATTCTGTGAGCATGTGTGTGTGGGCATGAAGTGTAGGAAAAACTGCTTTTTACCCTGTGGCTGTGCAGATGCTCTAGGCTGGCTCAGCTGCCACAAAACCCCAGAGAGGGGGTGGTCCAGGTGCCGAATTCCTCCCTACTCACACACCATATTCCCCATCAGCAGACTTATTTCCCCCCAGGACAGATGCCCCGCACCCCCACCAACCACCCTACCACCTTCAAATCCATGAGCTACACCTGTGCCAGTTCTCCCCAGGCCAGTAAAGAAAACAACAACACTGTGGATAGACTGAAGGCCACCATCAACCAGCTAAGTCTCCCCAGGTACTGAGAAGCCATTTGTGTGTATCTGTGTGTTTGTATGTGTGGGCACATGTTGCGTTTGTGTGCATATAAAAGGGCACATGGGTGTGCGTCATAATAAAACGGGAAACTTATCCATGCCCTTGAGCAACAACGTTAGCTGCCCAGTAGGTGTTTTTAGCATTGCGAGTGGTTAATTGCGTGGACAAAAATGTGGGTAAAGGGAACCTCAGGGAGAAAGTGACAGATGTGGCAGTGGCGGAGGTGGTAATAAAATTCAGCCAGAATTTGCAAGAGTAAGGAAAGAGACAGACATAAAAAAAGAAAGTGAGAGAGATCTGAAGTTGGTGTCTGTGCTAATAGACACAGCAATACAGAAGCTAATCCACAAGCCATTTTCACTGAAAGTGTTCCTATGCTGTACTTTTTAATCATGACAACCTTTTTCTTGCCACCAAGGGACTTCTAAGGACGCAAACGCTCATTACTGTCAATCCGGCTACAAATTAATGTTCTTTTCAAATGATTGAACTGACCCCCCCCTTAGAAAAGCCTCCAGTCCCTCACAGCGAGAGGTAAAGTCATGATGACTTTACATCCATAAGTCAGATGAGCAATTTGCTGCAAAGTTCCATCGCCTTAAAACTCTAGTGAAGACAGCCATGGGAGCAACAGCTGTCACAAGTCTGTCAGCTATGGTCCTTGGTGTGAATCAGGGGCAGCAACTTCTCGAACATTTGACCCTTTAGATATGACGGACATCTACTTAATAAAGAAGTCCATTTGTGACTTTGATGTATAAATGCACGAGTTGCTGAGCGAGTGCATTTGAGGCATCATGCGACAGCACATCAATATGCAAGACCATTAATTCCTCACATTCGTCAAATGAGTAGCAGCAAGGGAGACAGAGGGGGAGGAACGGATGGATTGAGGAAAAGGGGAATAGTAGGACTGATCGGAGCTTCAGTGAAAACAACGGGATGAATTGGGGAGGGTGGTGTTATAGTTGGCCGACAGCTTTTGATCGGTTAGTTCAAAGTGGAGACCAGATGGTGTTTTTGGAACAATCTTCCAACTTCTCTGTTTCCTGGAGATAGTGCCAGCATAAATTGTTTTTTCCCTTTCTTAAAGCTCAATTTCCAATCTCTCTGGGTCACTGTAGACAGCTGTTCTCCAGTAGGACCAGCATGCAGACTCCAGGAGTGTTGGATGCCTCTGAAGGATGGGGAAGCTGTTTGTGGGCCATCCGCTTATGGCTTATAGCCTTAGCAATATGGGCACGCTGTCATATGGCTGGATGAGTGGAATACTTCAAGGGAGAACAGACTGACTGACAACCTGAGGTCTAACATGTTGGGCGTGAGCTACTTATGCGAGTAAATTCATTCAGGATTTACTCAGTTTAATGAAGGTAAATGCTGTGCTGTTCATGCAGAAGCTTAAATGAGGAGCGCTGCTTTCCTTGTAGCACATCTGTTCCTGAGCATCAAAGTTTGATAACTGGTTCAATGAAGACTTATTATCAAAGTTAACTTAAAACATCAGCAAGATTTTCAGGGTGATGGGAATGTAATATTTAGAGATCATGTCTTAACATATAAGATCACAAGAATATTCTTAATGGCAGCATGATTAGAACTTAATGTGATATACAGAGACTCCAGTCTTTTTGTGCTCCTTTAACCTTATACTCTTTTCCTCTCACTTTTAAATTCTGTCTCACATGAATTTGCCATTATCTGCTTGATTAAGCAACGAGAGCATGTAGCTGAGCAAGCTACTAAAAACAAATCCTCCCCAATTGCACATCTGCATGTTCTTTATTAATTAGTCTCAACAAATGGCATTCATTTTCCCCCCACATGGCTCAGCTTGTTTGCAATGCAAACACACGGAGAACCTTGGCTTCGCTTGTCCCTCGTGCATTAATTTCCCACTACGTGTTTCAAAGCGTGTTTCTATGTGGGGCAATGCTCTGCAGATATGCAACTGGACTAGAAAATATGTGAAGAATATTTTAAATCATGCGATGCGTGGGAATTAGCAGGACATGAAACTGTGGCATCAGAATCACATTTCACCGCAGTGGCATGCCGAGGTGGTGGGGAGTTTACTGATTTAAGTCCAAAGGGCGTAATGCAAGTTAAGTCATGCTGCGCAAGAAAACAGCATCAGGGGGTAGCCACCCCTCTGCTATCAAATAATTACAGTCAGCTAATGGACTGGTATGGACAACTGAAGTCAGCAGTCTATCCGGGGTTCTGAATCACCTCTGTTGGCTCTAAATCCCTCTCATTTTGGCAACATCACCAGTGCATACTGTATTTAGATGCTAATTTGTCTAAACCTAGGTCAGATAACTCTGTATGAACTTTGGTGGGAGTGAAAATGCTGAGGTGGATGTAAATCATGAGCATTAAAGTAATGATAAAAGAAAATACTGTTGTTAAATGCATTGGGTTTTAGCCTGGTTTAAGCTGTAGAGCAATGTGCCAGGTTGTGTTTAGATTACTCTCATTTGGATAGCTGCAAGGCTGAAGCTGAGTGAAAAAAGGATGTCTAAGCATAGAGGTGAGCTGAATCCGAAATGTTGAGATGGGCAGACAGAATGAGAAGATTTTAATTACTTCTGTTGCCATTAATATTATCTTATTAGAATTCAATTAGATAACTCTAATAGTCAATTAGATAACTCTAGTCAGGAAAATAAATGAGACTTTTAATTAATTAATTATTTGCAGGATTTACTCACAATAGGCAATACCAGCATTTATTCAGAGAGTGTAAATGCTCGAGGGACATTATCCGTTTTCAGGAAATATACTACAATTTGGAGAAATTTGCTTATTTGCTGTCTTACTGAGAGCAAGATGAGCACATCAATATCAATTTGATCTCTTTGCGTTCAATACAGAGCTATCCCAGAGAGTGTTGGAGAAATGTCTGCAAGGCATTAACCCTGTGTTTGATAGCTGTCAACTTACAATTTCCTACTTCTAATTAAAAAGCCATAAAGTGAAGCTTAAAGCTCATATGACTGTCTACACAGTCAACACAAATTCGTTTACAAGATGGTATGCTTCAAAATCATTCAGTCAATTTTCCGGAAAGAAAATTTAACTTATAGTGCAAATGAGGTCACACTCCTCATCTTTGACTTCATATCTCTGACCGAAAATAGGATAAAAATTCCACCCAAAGATCAAAGTGACTTTCATGCCTATAGTGTAACACAATCAGATGTTTAGAAGGACAGAAGTGGCTACAGCGGGCAGTCTGGCCTCGGTGACTCACTGTATCTGGCCCTCACCAGGGTCCCACTTAGACTAATAGCAGCTGTTCACCAGAGACTGCCATTAATCCCTCCATCTTTGTTCCTGGACTAAGGCACATTGCAGCACCACTTATAAAGCACATGAGAGTGCGACGAAAAGGAACATGAAATTAACCATGTTGTAAGAGCCAAATTGTCAACCACTTGTGATTATTTTCATCATTTGTATTACTATTTTTTAATTACCTGTTTTACAATATTATTCATATGTTTTCAAACTGAAAGTGCATCTTTTAATCCTGATTAAACTGTAGCTCAATGCTGAATTTTCACTGGTGTGCTTATTTTGAGAAAAGAATGTAGAATATAGCACAAAAGAAAGCAGCCTTTTGCTATGCACAATCACAGTATGCACACCGCAACAAAACATGTCATTACTATGCAACACTGCATCTTTCCGGTTGTTTTGACAGAAGGGTTTTCTTATTGGCATGAATTAGTGCATTATTGATCACAGTTCAAAGCTTGAGATTTGGCCTATTATATGAGACACATTTACATTTTAAATAATGAATACATGAACGTGATTGACATTAGGCTCAGGATTAATACAAAAGTAGAGAAAAAAAAACACATTTCAATGTAAGAGAAGTCACAGTAAAATCTGACAGCACTAGATGATATCCAACTGTAAAAAAACAAACAAACAAACAAAAGAAACAGCTTATGCTGAACCTTGTGTATATCAGTGATTGTAGATCCTGACTGGCTGCATATTTTCTCTGGAAGCATTCAACAGTGCCAATAATTATGAACCTTTATTGTTCAGTGTTTACATGTGACTAGTTCCTCCTGTAATATAAAGAGAACACCTAAGCACAATTGTAGAAATGAAATTGTAAGGTGTTAAATTTACTTCACAAGCTGGCAGAAGGCTCCTGAAGGAACCATTGCCTTGATAGGTAGGGTGATAGCTTTCAGCTTCTCTGAGAAAGGCTCACTAAGAAAGTAGTATATTGGAGTGAGGAAAGAGATTTAGTTTCTTTTTCTCTTGCTCCAAAGATGTAATAATGTACTTTGTTGTCTGGCCTTTTTCCATTGCCTGACAGTGGATTAATCTTCTTTCATTATTGTAGTATTATTATCAATTCAGCAACCATTAAATGAAAACATCTCTTTTTGATCAGTGAGCCCAAATTATGTTCTCAATGAGTGTGACAGTTGTTTGTATTAGATTTTTAAAATAATAATACTGATATGAAAATACAGAAATCATATGGTTACAGCTACAAAAGGATCATTATATCAGCTCTTCACTGCAGTATGGATTTATTAGTGCAATTGGATTGTTGGATGGTTTAAAACAAACTCATGTATGTACCCAGCTGTTTCTCTCTTCTGTCTCCTATATGTTGCGATCTATGTTTTGTGATTCACTATGCAGGTGTTCCACTTATTTGAGCCAGTCATTAAGTCTTTGCTGTGTTCAGAGTATTCCTTGCTCACCATGGCTGACCGTACTCTGATACTGGATCCTCTGCAAAGTATGCATTTCTGCACAAAGCACATGATAACAGGCAGAAAACCCCAGATCCATACCAGAGCATAGCTGGTAAATTCTCTGCAGTGCTTTGCATTATTACATTCCATTGAGCCGTGTGACAGTTTCTGAGTAGTGCACTCAAGTGGTCATTGACGACTCACAGAGGAATTTTGAAATTAGCATACAATTGTGCCACAGACCTTTGGTTCAGGTGGTTGTATGTTACTGGTAAAACCAGCTTTGAAATTTAACAATGGAGATTCTGCAGGTGTTGTTGCCAAGGTGTGCCATTCTTGATATTCTCAGTTACTGTTATTGGGACTTTGTTAGCCATTTGAGGACAATGTCCTGGTAATTAACTTGTACGTAATTGAATTATCTAGATCATCTGATTTGGTACAGCCTGGCCTTCAGGTCCTTTAAGGACTAATCTTCATGGAAGGATTCAGAGCTTGAATTAGAACGGAGCTTTTGTGTGCTGCCTTGTCTGCATGACAACAGTGCAATGCATGGCGCATTCACATTTAAGTGGTTTCCAGATATCCAACATCATAACACTTGATTCTTGCAATATAACCATAGTAAATGCTTATCACTGCATGCATCAAATTAGCAAAAATAAACACATGTGAATAATTACAGGAAATCTAGCTCTGCACATCTTTGTGTAAAAAATAAAATGTACAAAACAGCTGAAATTTTTGTACGTCCAAAATACATAAGCACATGTCTGATCAGCAGACTGAGGGTTTAAAGCATGTGTCTGCAGAGCAACCAAGTGCTCACTGTGCAGTTTGTGTCTGCACCATTGCTTATATTTTTTTGGATTTGCGTTTCAAATGCTGCTATTGAGCCAAGAAACTTGTAATCAAATTAGACTGCATTGAAATTAAGCAAATTGATACCCAACACGAATGAATCAAAGTTCAATTGCAGCATGTTTCGTTTCAGGAGCAACTTAATTTAGAAGTGGATCTCAGCACAAACTCCAGAGGTTCTGCTGAACTGTGCTGAACACTACCTGTCAAATCTGAGAAGGGGAAGGAGGAGGGAGCGCGAGGGAGAGCGAGAGCCTAAGCCTTGTGGGAGACAATTTGAATCTCGACAATTAGTCTCTGCTGTCGCTCAGTTTGATCTCACACTGTGAAAAATGTTTTCAGGAGCTTTAATTGTGTAAAGAGCACATTTTGGAATGCTAATTACAAATCTGCTCCACTCATTTTTCAGGGTTAAATCGTACATTCAGAAGCGAGGATGATGCTATGATGGCGAGCATTTATCGCAGACACATCATTATACATGGTGACAAATCAGTTTACATGTGGGCAGACTTCCCTCTCTGACTGCATGACAAAAAAAAATGAAGAGGACAAACTGCAAGGGTTGCAAACACTAACAACTGTTAATCATTTTTACTCCCGCGCCTGAGTTGGCCTGATCGTGTCGTGCCCGCTCTTGCCATGCTTGCTTCTTGTGGTGTACATAATGAAAAGAATGGAGCCGTCAGTCATAATGGCTCTCTAAATAGCATTTTCTGCTTTATTAGTCATACTTAATAGTGTTGAAAGGGTTGTGAATGATGCAAAATCCCTTTGTTCAAAGCCCTTCTCTCACTGTGAACGGTTCTTGATCGAAAAAAGATTCCCTGACAATTGAGGCTGAATGTGTATTACACGCTGGGCTTACTTTGCCTATTTTAGAGGGGAATTGTGGATGTTCTCATCAAAAAGATTGATGGCATGAGCAAGGAAATAAAAGAGGTGGAGACAGTTTGCATAGTGCCACAGCAGGCAGGTAGCTGGACCAAAAAAGGCAGCTTTATTCATTTTAGATGGACAGCTCTTTTGATATTTCATCATAGCAAACAAAAAACAGCGATGCATCACCAATCCATCCACCTACATGGCATAAAAGCAAACTGGAAACCAATTACGGATATCTATCCGAGCCTAAGATGAATCCTAGATATTTACAGAGCGTTAGTCATGCATGTCTTTCTGATAGTGTCATACGTCTACATGTGGGAAATACCTCCATTGTTCAGGAATGCAAGGCATTAGTAGTCTTTTTTTTCCACCTTGCAACAACACAGGTACTTCAGAACACAACTGAGTAAAAGGGATTTTTAAAAAGTAATAGAGAGAGGAAGGAGTGGTATGCTTACGTTGAATGTCAATTGTGACACTGGTCTCCTTGCCGTTGGGGACTGCCTTGTTAGAGGCCTTACAGATGATCTGCTGACCTGTCTCGATGTTGGTAGGCGATAGGTAGAGCGTGCTCACGGTGCTTTCTCTCCTGCCATCTCGGAGCAAGGTCTGCAAAAAGTGAAGAAATCGGGAGTAAAATAAAGGCAGTTGTGTGGATGAATGTTTGGCCTCTAAATCTATCCCCAGTATCGACGGTTGCTCTGATGGATTGCCCTGCTGGAATCTTTCATTTCGGTTTCCATAATCAATAAACAGAACTCCAACTATTTTGATTTCAGGCAGTAAACTCCAACTGCTGTAAAACTTACAGTCAAAGACGTATTGGACCGTGTCTTCCGATTCAAGTTGGGTTTTAAAAGTGTTTAAATGACATACAAATAGAGAGAAGAAGAGAGGTGGAACAAACACTTTGCCAGATAAGCTTTGATGGAGAAGGTGTAAAATTGTAAAAAAAAAAAAAAAAAAAAGCAGAAAATTCATGAATACACACATCTACTCTCTTGGGTAACCAGAGGTAAACCCTCAGAACACTTCAGCCTGTAGTTCTACTGCGAAGCAGATTGATATGAAAAAATAAAAAAAGGGAGAAATATGTTTTTTGAGCTTCCTTTTGTGTGTCTGGAGAGCTGCGCTCTAGTGCATGGCTTGTCATACTCCACAAAGGAAATCAATCTTCTTTTCAGCGCTCATCCTCTGAGCCCTACATTGTGGAAGCCATCTGGAATCGGTTGGTAGCGCTCAGTAGCTCTCACTCTCCCTCAAACGCTCAGGGGAGGGCTCTGGGAGTTTATGTTAACCAGTGCGGGACAGAACAAAGTCACAGACTAGAACAAATTGTGTGGGCAACGGGGCACAGTGTGGTCAACCACAAAGTCAAGATGCATTTCCCTACCATCTCTTTAAAGCAAGCTCACTGTTTGCGCTGTGTTTTTGAAGAAAAGAAGACCTTGCTAGTGAAGTACATCAAACATTCTCCTAAAATAGAAGCAGAACTACTATGTTGACCGGTAGAAGCTCACAGCGGATTTGCTTTGCCGCACTGCTACCTTTGGATTAGCCTCACAAATATATAGATTGCTTCATGGATATTTTCTGCACTTGGATTCTCATACACCATGCAGCAAGAAAAAAATAAGTTTTAGTCTGAAAACTAGTACTTAGGTTTAAATATAATACAAAGTTCTACAGTGGTATAAATACAAAGTTTAGATGTCAAGACTGGATCTTAGCCAGGTACATTATTCTATATTATTATATTCTCACAAGGTTCAAGAAAGCTAAGCAGCATATAGATTTCAACCACCATTATCATCACACATTAATCTTTAGCTGAGCCAAACTGTGGTTCATTGACAAAGTACAAAACCAGTAGTAATTATCTCCTCATTTCTCCACTTTAATGCAAGGGTTTCACTTTATTAAAACCGTAATCTAACTATGTGCTGTCTTTGTTGCTTAAGCATACCATATTCAGAAGAATATAATTAAAATGTCATTGAACTTGTTAAATCAGATGGCAAGACATTTCAAAAGAAATCTTTTGATCTATCCGCTCTATAGTTCAAGTACCTCAAGGTACCTCTTATGTGAGAATCTGTAATATTAAACCAAAAAATAAACAAGCTTTTCATTAATGAGCATTTGGTGGTAAAAGAAAATTATACATCCCATGCATGCTTCCGGGAAGCCCATTTGTATGTGAGGAACCATGTGATGAAATTCATAGTTGTGCGTGAGTCACTTCTAAAGCAGAACGCATTAGCTGTCAGACGCGGGATATGTCAATGTAATATCCTTTCTGACACAATCAGGATTGTTTCCCTCGTCGCTCTGGACCTGTCTGAAGTCATTAATCTTAGAAAGGGGGTTAGCTGGGTGCTGCATTGAATTCAACACCATGCCACATTACAAATTGATAAATTTTCATATCACTGCCTGGGGCCTATGTGAAGAATACTTTTACCATACTAGGAGAAGAATGACAAATATAACAAGATTGAGATGGGACTAGCTGCCTTTTTCAAGTATATTTAATGCTGCATTTGGTCAATTCTGACCTCCAGGGTGGAAAACAAACAAAGAAACAAGAGCAGAAACTTCACAACACACGCACTGCACTGGGGCTTTTCGTTTTCACATCTTGTTTAAAAAAAATCAAGCCTAATATTTATCCTAGCATTTTAGTTTTTATTTGGGCTGGGGTTAAGTAGCAGTATACTGTGTTCTCAGTGATACTTTAATGTTCAGGTAGATTGTCTTCTTTCTCACAAGAACAGCACCACAGCTATACAAGCCTCAGAGAACGAACATAACAGCACCTAAATTAAAGCTTGACATGAAGCTGCAACTGCCAATCCAAGCTTTGACCTCACAAGAAGGTGACCTGTCAGGAGAAGACCAGCTTGAAAACAACTATTTGAACTGTTTGACTGGAAACTGCAGGGTGTCTGATGAGAGCTTGACCGGTGATGTTGAATGTAACATGATTTATTAATAACTAGTGGAACTGACAGAAGATTGCAATGATGTATGCGGTGGTTCCATGGGTTGCTCTACATTGGAAGCATATACACAAAGAAAACATAAGCAGGATTTCTTGGGAGTCACAAACAGCTTTAATAACAAGGGAGAATGCTGGTTAAGAATTAATTGTCAGGGATTCAGACACACGTCAAAGTCATGAAAATTGTGACTTGCGTACAAATTACTCTAACGCTAAATATACCTAGAAAAAAAAAAGTAACAGTCCATACTGCACACAGACGCCCCTCCACAGAGGCTTAACAAGCTCTAATAAAGATTGTGGATGCTAACTGATCAGTCCCTAAGTGGCTGCAAATGAGACGAGACAGAGACAGAAAGGTGAAAAGGAGAGAAAGAGGGAGAATATGAAAGGTATTTTTTGCACCTATGGTGACTTCAAGAATCCCGTCCATCTGATAACAAGTAATTAAAAATGTTTGAACTAAATGGATTAACTGCTAAATAAAACTTTGCCAGAGAGGCTCATTCACCGTTCGTCCAAAACACTATGTTTACTTTTTCTTTTTTACCTGTCTTTTTCTGGATGATAATGCTACTCATGATCCATTTATAACATTTAAATTGCATTTCCTTGTAACACACATTGTCAATTTAGTGTTTTGCACATGATAAAGCTTTTATTTCTGTAAATCTGAACTCTGAAGGAAGTTTGGCTTCACTGGAAAGCTTCATAATCTTGTACTTACCTTTAATTTTCTCATTTGGTCACTATTACACTATACTTGTCATCTTTTAGAGCATTTATTCAGTCCTAAAACTCATTTACATCATAAACATAGTACAGTAAGGCAGAAATTAAAATGACCTATTGAGATTTTACAGGCAAACAGGGAAAATTATATCATGCAAAAGAATACGCCTCAGTTTTACTGTCAAATGCAGTCTATATTTTAACTGTTTAACTTTTAACTGTGCATCTTTCATTCCTTTAATTTAACAATTTAATTGCTTTGCCATTATACTTCATATTTACACAGCGCTAAAAAAAAAAAAATACATTATTGGCTTTCTTTGTTTTAACATAGTCACTGAGGGTAAATTGTTTTCTTTAGTTTACCTGAGCTTAGGTCTTCCCTGTAAAGTTCTTGGTACTTTAAGCGATCTGTATTTCACCTTTAAGTTTAATGGTAAATAAATGCTAGTGAAGTACATCAAGCATTCTCCTTAAATACAAAACAGAGCTACAATGTTGACTGGTAGAAGCTCACAGTGGATTTGCTTTACTGCTCTGCTACCTTTGGATTAGCCTCACAAATGTATAGATTGCTTCATGGATATTTTCTGCGCTTGGAATCTTATAGGACAGCATAAAGCAAGAGAAATACTTTCCAACTCGACATCTATCCGAGTTTCAGTCCGCAAACTACTACTTCTCCTAATGTTACTATCTTGTCTTCATTAAGGTTAAAGATAAAATAAAACTTCTACAGTGGCACAAGTAAGTTTAGATGTCAAGACTGGAACATAGCCAGATACATTATTCTATATTAAAATGCTCTCACAAGGTTCAAGAAAGGGTAAAAAAAAAAAAAACAGTAAAACAAAGATTGGAAGGAGCATTGCTATGTTCCCTGCTGAAAATGATATCCATTCACTTCATATAAACTTTAGCAATTGTACCTGGCATTAAACAGACATGCTTTTACTGCAAAGCTAGGAGAGTATACAATAAAAAAGCACTATTCTGTTCTTACCAGCAAGAACAGCTCATAAAAATGCCATTACTATTTTCTTTTTATTTTTTAAACCTGCTAACACTGAGATAACTCCCCAGTCTCCTGCTCACCTCTCAGCGTGCCACCAAAGCATTCAGAAAAAATATGTAGCACATTGGGGAGAATGACTTTCTGGTAGGGAAATGCATCATGGTTTTCAAATGATTTGTTGTACCACTCCAATACAAAAAGTATCATAGAGCAAATGTGCACACCTCCAAACTGCAGCTTAGACCTGCAGGTTGCACATTACAAACAGTTCTTTTCAGTTTGCCACTAAGCAGCTCGACTAGAGCAGATGGGAGTTGAGCATTTTAGGGAAGAGAGAACATTATTCAATAATTTAGTCTGCCCACATTCTGTGAGCCAGTCTTGATATTTGAACCGATCACCTCAGTGCTGCGTCTTAATTATTCGGGGTGCCTCCTCCATTATATACTAAAGTTATGTTTTCTAAAAGCTACCCTCACTAATGATAAGCAATACATCATTTCCGTGACTGTTCTGTGGTAAAACTAACACACATTTTTTGCCAAGTGATTTAATCATACACTTTCTCTTTAACCACTGGTCCAGTAAATAGTTTTCTATGAGGTCAAAGAGATGAGGTTTGGGAGGCCTATAGAGGGAAATTATCTTTGGGTCAGAACTATCATTACATATGACACCATCAGGAAAGTCATTTCTGTGAGCCCTCCACCACATCTGCTAACATTAGTCCTCTTCATCTGCGGGATATGAGAAGACCATCCGAGCAGATGATTATGCTTACAAAATGTCCCCCTGCTGCTGCTCTTCGGACCCAAAAAAAAGAGTCATCTTCTTTTAATTGAACCCATTGCTTTTTAATGTTAGGCAATAGAGATAAGAGGGGAGAGGCACATACTTGGGCTCAGCGCAGGCATGTGAGCATTCCATCAACTACCAGCACAGAATGTCCTCATATTTGCCTTTGCTTTGAGAGGAAGTGAAAGCAGGAAGCGCACTCCCCGCCCACCATTAGCACGCGGCACCTCCAGCAATCACTTTATTCAAAACGGCCTGGTGCCGTACCTCAGCCCAATCAATGGCATTTATCTGCTCTTTGAAAAAAGCCGATAATGGGATGAGGCAGCACTGGGAGCGAGGGAAGGCGGGGGAGGTGTTAGTGCTCTAAAGTGCCTGGTCTCTTTATGTCCTTTGTTTAAATGGAAATAGAACATGACAGTGTTGAATGCATGATTAGCCTTGAGGGCTAATGTCAATCAACAGTCTATGGGGTCAGGTGATTCTAACACCAGGCTGGTGTGAACAGTGGCTATTGTATACGGTGGCATCGAATGTGAGAACACGATCTGTCACTGAGAATCACGCTGCACAATGAAAAGGTTCAAGAGATTTTGGAGCTGAGAGTGACATAGTGGATTTTATAATGTGTTGGGAAGATAAATGCCACTGCAGGAGAAGATCAAAACAGCAGAGAGAGATGCAAAGTCATTGAAAGTTCCATGATCTCGCCATCTGCTTGTCTGAACTGATTTGTATACTGAAGGAAAAAAAAAAGGGCCAGCCATCTTTTTGCAATCAAAACACAACCTGGATTTTCAAGGGATTTCATTTCAAAAAGCAACCTGAATGCTGAGAAAAGCACCCACCAGTGACTCAGGCAAGGTGCTAAAAAAATCAATAAATCATAGATGTTTATGTTTAGCCCGTTTGTGGTAGTTATTTGCAAGCAAATACAAAAGAATACATGCAAAAATGTAAAGTGACAGGTGCTTTCATTCTCACAGCAAAAATGTTCTCGAGAATGAAAGCAACAGCCACAATGGAACCCATTGTCTCATCCACCAACCCTTCCCCAGCCGGTCTACATACCTGGTATGACACACACCTCTATGCTTACCTTGGAGTACATGGCCCCGTTAAGGACCTCTCCGTTGCGGATCCAAATGATGGAGGCTGCAGGTTTGGCATTGTCAGCGTGGCAGGTCAGATTGAGAGGGTCACCAGCCCTTAGGCTCACCACTGGCCCTCCACTGATGACGGGGTCTTCTGGGGGAACTATAATACAGACATGGAGACAAAGGATGTGTGGATGTTAGCAATGTGTTTTATGCCAAGTTAAGGATGTAGCACACTGGCATGTAATATCTTATTTTGCTTTTTTAAAAAATTCAGTCTTATTTGTCTAATATTGTGCAACCACACACCACAGAGAAATGAAAATTTTTGATGAACAACATAACACAAAACTAATGACAAATGGCACCTGCAGGATTTGACAGCATGAAACATAACCTTATCACTCAGTTATAGTTCCCATTCTAATGGGCGTACTTATGATGCCAAGAGGAGACAACATTTTGGTTTATTGTTTACAAATTAAAGGTTCTTCAGAAAATAAAATCCACATCAATTGTTACTTGTTTATGGAAGGTAATGACTTCACAGTGAGACATATTTACCCTGTACGCAGTACTTTGAAAATAGTGTGGTTTGAGGCGCGAAAAGCTTTGTGGAACTCTCAGCAGGATTCTCTAAATAAAGTCAACTCTGTCATCACTCAAAGCAGATGCAGAATACACATACACGTCAGCATTAAGTACAATTCAGTCTATGTATAACCCCCTCAGACACACAGATGTACACATCTCCCCTTTATTTCTCTCAGCTTTGACAAATACAGCAGAGAGAAGAAAGCATCACAACATTGTATATGTGCCTCTAATGGCACTGATCAAAGTCCTATTCCCGTTCTACCCATGAGCTGATCTGTTTTTTTTTCTCTCTCTTCTTCTTCTTCTTCTTTTTTTTTTTTTTTTTTTTATAAGTGAAACTGCAGTGAATTATTGATTGACCTGAGTGCTCATTACAATGCAGATCTGGGGCAAGATGAAATCAAAGGCTGCAGGCAGCTGCCATATTCCCCTGCAAAAGCATCATGATTGGAAGGAGGGTTGTTATGGGTTAGATTTATGCTGTCAAACAGACCTGAGATGAATGAAAAGGAGAGGAAATGTAGTTTGGAATACTTTTGTACATTTAATGACAATAAGTATAAAAGTGTTCTTTTATGGCAGACATGACAGGGACTGTGAGGCCAGAGAAGTGTGCGTATAGTATTCAGTGTTGCTCCCTTTTAAAAGGAAATGACTGACAGAGAATGAAATTGATATGACTTAACTTGGTTTTTGTTTGAAGTTGTTAACTATGTTTTTTAAGTGATCAAACATAATCTCTGGTGCTGAGACCTAGAAAGATGTATTTACTTTAAAATATTAATCCCTCAAGATATGCATTAAATCAAACACACTTTTAAAACTGTTTGTGGTTGACATAGTTTTCAGTATCATATCTACATTTAACAATTAGTTCATTATATATATGATGTTCCTAATGTGCTGAAAATACAATAAGAGGGACAAGGGAGATGAAATGATGCTCTACATATTTTTACTTTTCAGTTACATTTTATGTTGCCCTCACTGCTTACAACTCACTAAATACTATATCAGAGCTGTATTAGGGTACTGCTAATGGAAACCAAACATTTCCAACTAACGCTCATACACATTAAAAGCATTTAGATGGGAAAAGGTTTTATAGTGAAGCAGTCAACCACTGAGGTTTGCTTAGCTAATTGCTCATCAGAAAAGCCACTTTGACTCTTTTGGTAGTTTGTCATGTTGTAATAATGGAACAAGAAGAAACAGTCACGAGTAACCTTTAGCTGAAGAGGTGCAGGTGATAGTACATCTCCCTACTTTAGCCTACAGTAATAGCTCACCCTTGTTACTGATACTGTGCTCTGCTGTTACTTGGAAAAGCACTTGCTCATGTGCAGTTGCTATGTTTTGCAAGTTTGTTTGGTTGCACTTTAAATACATATACAATTTTCAGTTGTGTGGCTAATGTAGCACAAATAAATAAATTAATAGCTATCATCTGTAGTTCGACGAGAAGTGAAGCAGCACATGAAAGATGGTCAGTCACAGTACACTCCAGTTTTTGTTGTCAAAAACAAGCTCATCTCAGTCCTCGTGCCATTGATTAATGGATGGAGGTGGCATTTTGGTCTTTTGCTCCTGTGACTAATGCCTTTGCATTACATAACAATATTGATTAAAAAAACACGGAAAATGTTTGCTTGTTCAAATTATCGGAAAACATATCAACCAGTACCACACAGTCACAGTGAGTAAGTGCTGAATCAGACCAGCGTGGGAACACTGAAGTCTGGACTCTGACTAGACCAGACTACTCCAACTCTGACCAACTGGACCAGTAAATCTGCTATTTCAAAGACAGTTCAGACTCACTGGTTCCTATTATGTGCTTGAGTTTGAAATGCAGTGTTAATTCTGGCTGGCTCCCTTTCATCTGGTCCTCATTAATATGCGGAGGGTTGGGAGAGGTAGAGGAATCTCAGGTCAGCACAAGCAGATCAGACAAGAGAGTGTGCTGATCTAAGCAAGTAAGAGAGAATCTTTGTGAGAATGTGGTCACCTCCTGGTCCTTTATCAGCATTTGGAAACAAGGTCAAGAAGATCACGTTAGTTTATTCTTATGCTAAGAATAGTGCTACAGCATGGTATGCAAATGAGACAGGGAGCATGAGAAAAGCATTATGAGCTGAGACTCTCCAGACAGCTCTCCCATTTGTCATTAAAGAAAACAAAAAAAAAAGGAGGCTCAGTGATAGCACTGTGACAGTTGATTGCAAAGATCCAGTGTTATTGGCTTGCTGTCACTGCTCTCTTGCACACATGACTGAAACATTAATTAAATGTCAAGCATATAAGGCTGCCATAAAATGGAGAAAAATGGATAGGGGAAGATTAGAAAGGAACATCTGACAATATATGACTGATAGGACTCAGACTTGAATACTGCACATCCAACTGAGGTGATTCTCCTCTTCGTGCTCAAAGTGCTCAAAATTCTCCGAGACGGTGGGATCAGAGGCTTTCTACTCCCTCTAACAGGAAAAATTCCTCCTTCACACATATTAACACATATCAGTGTCTGTAAATAGGTGCTAGGGCCAGAAGGTGACACTGCTAATGAATGCGGTTATATCCTAGCAGACTGTTGTAGCAAGTCACTATATGCCTCCCTTTGACCTTTAATAGTCTCAGTGGTCTGCTATTATTCAGCCGTATGTTTCCCATTGAGGTATGCCAGGATGCACAGTGCAAGAGGAGTTTATGATTTCATGCATAGTGGAGCTACATGGAAGAGGAAGTCACACGCAAACAGAGCTCTGGTACACTTTCAGGTCATGTCCCTCTGGAGGGGTGCTTGCCAGCGAAACACTGAAGGTGAGTGGTGAGTGCAACAAGGGGATGAAGGACATGCCTGGCTGCCTCCATCCTGCAGTACCCATACCTTTGTATCTTTATGCCCTTCGCACTGTTTGAGGTCTTATGAGGAGACTGGAGATAGTTTGTGACAGCCTGGACAGCATAACTACTAAATACGTAAATCTAAACTTTCTTGTTCGGTGCTTTTTTAAAGATCAGCACCATTAAAAGAGAATGTGAAAAGGTTTTAACCGAGGCCAAGAGGCAGTTAGACATGATCCTGTAAAGCAGTGCTTTTGTGTCTCGTGGCAGATGAAAGCCTCTGTGTCGGCTGAGGAAATGGGAGGATTTGACCAATAACCCAACATCCATTACATATAACCGAATGACTAGAAAAAATAATTAAAATAGATATTTTGCTCTTTCTCTTCATCTGAGATCTTTCACTGATCCTGTCTTATGACTGCCAGGTCTGACAGTTATACAGAGGCCAAGCCTTGAACTTGAATCAGCCATCATCATTACTGGGCTGTTTGCAAACTCGGCAGTCCCTAATGGTTCTAAATTAGCTCTTTACTGCAGCCATTCGATGGACTTGGCATAAGTAGTGTGGTCAGTGGTACAGATTGATCGCTCCTCTTTAATTACAGGGCTGACTCACTGCAAACCCTGCTCCACTCACTACTTTTTTCTTGGGGATAATAATGTAATCCCTTTCAACACTTTCACAAATTTGCATTCTTCTGTTCATGCGTAGACATGGACACTGTTGGCATGCATATGCACAGACATCAACTTTTGCAAGTATTTCAGTGATAACAGGTTTTATACAAATCAGAGACAATTGATAGCAGATCAGTCACAAATGAGTTTGCGTCTGTCTGTATTAATCTAACTTGTAAGCTTTCGGCTAAAGACTTAACTGCAGAATAGCTCTAAGATATAGTCAGTTCATTAGTTTTATCATTTAAGAAGGTTTTATTGGGGTTATATTCATTTGTCACTTGATTCAATGGTTTTCTTAAATCACAGATGCCATGGCAGAATATAAGCTCCACATAGACTATGTTTTTTGAAGGATAAGTCCAAATTGGTCTGTCATAACTTAGATTAACCTATTCCAGGCCTGGAGTTGGGTATATGCACTATTTTGTTTTAAGGTATCCCAATTTTTATGGATGTCCATCAGCTCACCCAGTCTGAGATAAGACTTTGGATTAATTTATGTACTTCACCAATCCTACAAATGTAAGGCATATCTGACAATGAAACCTGTGTAGAACTCCCCAGTCAAAAAAGCAAAAAAATTGACAGTGATGTCTGAAAGCATAGACCTCAGTGAGATCGTGTGGTTTTAGTGCAAAATCAAAGATATCCATAAACGAAGCCAGGGCATATTGATGTGTAATTAACTCAACAGTGCAAAGCACTACGTCCATCTCTTCCAAGAGCAGCCTGAATAAACCCTGGGGGCCATAAAGCTGCCTTTTGTCCCATGATACATATGAATTCTCCAAACAGTGCACATAAAAATTCCCCAACACAAAACATAAAACTTGAATTTATGGGAGTGGAAGCTGATAACATTGCACTAGAGTTGGCTGAGACGTCTGCTTCCGTCTGGAAACAAGTGGCATTGCTGATGGTGAACCTGCTGGGTTTTTCTGGGCCAAAACCACTATTGGTGGAACTTCTCCAAAGCAGCCAATGAAATCTTGCGAGCGCCCCGGATTTCCAGGAGTGTGAGCGAGGGAGGAA